TATGACGCGCGAGGTCGACTGATCGAACAGTTCCTTTTCTCGTCGAGCGCGTGTCTCCTAAACCGAAAAGAACCAACCTATTATAATCTCGCCAATAACACCTACTCCTCCATAGACCTGAGCATAGTATCTCCATCTCTTGTGCCTCTACTCCAGTGGAAAGTCGTCAGTAATCCGTACGGAAGTGACCACTTCCCCGTAGTTTTGAGCACGACAGTAACTGAGTGTCCATCACGTGTTCCCAAGTGGCTCATAAACAGAGCCGACTGGGAACAGTTTTATACTATTGCTAGTCTAGGTTGGAATGACATCCGTACTTTGAACATTGATGTTGCGGTGAACTACTTCACAGCGTTTTTGATCGATGCTGCAACAAAATGCATCCCACAAACAAATGGACACCCTGGAAAACGACGTGTGCCATGGTGGAACTCTGAATGCCGAAACGCGCGCAAACAGCAAAACAGAGCTTGGAGGCTGCTTCGGAACTCGCCGACAGCCGAAAATCTTGAAACCTTCAAGAAAATAAAGTCTCAAGGCAGGAGAACGCGTCGGCAGGCCAGAAGAGAAAGCTGGCAGAAGTTTTTATCAGGGGTTAATTCATACACACAGGAGGCTAAAGTCTGGGACATGGTCCATAGGATAGCAGGAAAACAAGTACACACACTTCCACTCGTAAACACTCAGGGTGATACCTTGGAAGATCAGGCAAACTTCCTCGGTGCACACTTCGAACAGGTATCCAGCTCATCCCACTATACTGACACTTTCCAAAAATACAGAACAAGAATAGAAAAGCAGAAACTTGAACACAAATCCACTAGATACGAGGGATATAACCAAGCTTTCAGTCTTGCTGAGCTCCGTACATCTCTGAACTCCTGCAGTACTTCTGCCCCAGGTTCTGACCGTGTGTCACACCTGTCCCGTTTATTAGGGAGGCGATCGCCGGGCTAATTCCAAGAGCCGAAGTATCGGCCCCCCGAACCGCACCACGAAAGCGTGGACAATTTAGAAGTGGTCCTTATTGGTGCGCCAGCGGACGCCGGCTGTGGCCCAAAGAACAAGACAGAGCCGAGAGTTGATAAACAAACAAAATTATATTCTCATTAACGGCAGATCAAAAACAATACACACGTATGCACACTCCACAATGGTTACATACAATACGTCACCAATCAGACAACGTACTACACAGTACAATCAGCCACACTCAAAACAACTGACACAGACAACAATACGCACTACAATGCAGTCGCATGCATTGAACAACCAAGACACTTAAGGACTAAAGAGATAGAAAACCTATTCAGTCCAAAGTCCTTGGAACAAAAGTCTGAATGATACTCTTCCGAGAATCACTCACTCAAAGTCCAGCGTTGTTGTCGTTCCGTAGTTCTCGAAGTTTCTCTTCCAGGAAACCTCGCGTCCTCAAATGGCCACTCTCCAAGCTTCAAACTTCTTCGCCGGAAATCCGTCGGCTTCACACACGCAGCTGTTGCCCGCGTCTTCGCTCGATAGCGGTAAACCCACGCTCTTGCCTGTAGCTCGAGCCGTCCCTACGGACCAAAAACTTCGCCGACTACACGGCGGAATTCCTACGCGCTCTGGCGTTAACTTCCGTCACCTCCTGTTCTGTCACTACGGGCAGAACCTTCGCCGACTACACGGCGGAATTCCTACGCGCTCTGGCGCTAACTTCCGTCTCCTCCTGATTTCTCGTCTCGGCTGCTCGGTTAAATACCTTGCGCGCGACTTTCCAGATGTTTCTCGTCATTTCGTCGGCGCGATACGCAGCGAAGGCTGGGGAGAGGCACGAGACGGTTCGACTGCCCTCTCCCGAGGATGATTCACTCGGTCTGACCCCGCCTCCTTCGTTCGAGAAAAATCGCGGTCTTGCTGGGCCGCCGATGTGGGGTGAGGAGGATCGTCTGCGAAGCCGTGCTTCTGCGGGGAGAGCGCGCGCCCGGGAGCCCTGGATGTTTGCTTTCTTTTTTTTTTCTTTTTACCTCGCGGCGTTTCTGCCGCCCGTTGTCGCAAGGATTTGGCGGCGCGCTCTTGTTTAGCGCTCGTTCTGTGACACCGTGTGATGTATGAAATGTTAAAGAACCTACCAAACGAAACCCGAAAAACCTTACTTTGTTTGTACAATGCTATTTGGTCTTCTGGCACTATTCCTACCTCCTGGAAAGAGGCTATTGTTATTCCCATTTTGAAAGAGGGCAGGGACCCTTCTTTAGCTTCGAGTTATAGGCCTATTGCACTTACAAGCTGCTTGTGCAAAGTCTTCGAAAAAATGATAAACTGCCGACTTGTACACTTTCTTGAAACAAACAATTTGCTCGACCCATTTCAGTGCGGGTTTCGAGAGAGTAGATCCACGACAGACCACCTTGTTCGTATCGAGGCACAGATCAGAGACGCCTTCGTCCATAAACAATATTTTCTCTCCGTGTTCCTCGATATCGAAAATGCTTATGATACAACATGGCGTTTTGGAATTCTAAGAGACCTATCCAACCTTGGCGTGCGCGGAAGAATGTTTCACATAATCAAAAGTTACCTGTCAAACCGGACATTCCGTGTCCGAGTGGGCACGGTTCATTCTCAAACATTTGTCCAGGAAACAGGCGTTCCACAAGGTGGTGTACTTAGCTGCACACTTTTTCTCATAAAAATGAATTCCTTGCGCTTGACCATCCCTCGCAATATGTTTTATTGTACATATGTGGATGACGTCCAGCTTGGCTCTAGGTCTTGCAATCTGGCAATGTGTGAGCGGCAGGTTCAGTTAGGTTTAAACAAGCTCTCAAAATGGGCAGAGGAAAACGGATTCCGACTGAACCCACAAAAAAGCACGTGTGTCCTGTTCTCCAGAAAGAGAGGCATGCACTCAGAACCCGACATTGAACTGAACGGTCAGCGTCTGTCTGTTAATACGGAGCATAAATTCCTAGGATTAATCTTGGACAAGTTGACCTTCGTACCGCACATCAAGTATCTAAAAACAAAATGTTTAAAAGCCATGAGTGTTTTAAAAGTGTTGTCACGTACTAGGTGGGGTAGTGACAGGCAATGTCTCATGAACTTATATAGAAGCCTCATTCGCACCCGCTTAGATTATGGGGCTGTTGTTTATCAGTCTGCGACTCAAAGTGCTTTGAAGATGCTGGACCCCGTGCACCATTTGGGAATCCGCCTTTCTACGGGTGCTTTTCGCACCAGCCCCGTAGAAAGCCTTTATGTTGAGTCAAATGAGTGGTCGCTTCATCTGCAGAGAACTTACATGTCCTTTGTTTATTACCTTAAGGTGAAAGCAGACAAGAAGCACCCCTCATACTCTACTATTAATGATTTGTCGAGCTCAATTTTGTTTCAAAACAGGCCTTCGATGAGGCAGCCCTTCTCTATTCGCCTGAAGAGTCTAGCTGAGGAAACTGGAATCTCACTAGAACACAGTTTAATGGCTCCTGTAGCATATCCGCCACCGTGGCAATGGCAGACTATAGACTGCGATGTGTCTTTCCTAGAAGTTACAAAACATGCACCTGTTGCCCATATCCGAACATACTTTTTGGAACTTCAACACAAATACACATGTCCTGAGTTCTTCACAGATGCCTCCAAGACTAACTCCTCTGTGTCCTACGCTGCTGTAGGCCCATCCTTTTCGGATGCTGGTCCACTACATCCACGCACAAGTATCTTCACAGCGGAAGCGTACGCGATACTTGTGGCAGCTAAACACATCAAACAATTACAAATACAAAAAGCAGTAATTTATACAGACTCCCTAAGTGTGGTAACGGCTCTGCACAGTCTTAAAAAACAAAAAAACCCAGTCCTTGTCTCACTTTACTCTATTTTATGCACACTTTACACACTGAAACAACATGTTGTAGTGTGCTGGGTGCCAGGGCACCGCGAGATTCAAGGCAACGTGAGGGCGGATCAGCTCGCTGCATCCGTGCACAAAAGCACTGCCCCTACACCCATATGAATCCCGGCCCTCGATCTTAAACCATCCCTCAAACGAAACCTCAGAGTATACTGGCAGAGCAAGTGGGATACACACACACAAAACAAACTACACGTTATTAAGCCACACCTTGGTCATTGGCCGCCCGTATCGAAATCGCGTTATACAGAGGTGATACTAACGAGACTCAGGATAGGACACACATACACGACACACACACACCTTTTGTCCGGTGGCGATCCACCATTGTGTGACAGATGTGGTGAAGCATTGACAGTCCTTCACATTTTAATTGAGTGCAAACAATTGGACACTGTAAGAAAACAACACTTTCCATTACCCTACCGACAACATATACCTATACACCCTGCAATGTTTGTCGGTAGGGAACCGCTTTTTAGTTATAAATTATTGTTAGCGTTTTTAAAAGAAATTCATAGCTTTCATGTCATATACCTGGGCATACCGTAGCATGACCTCTCCAGAGAGGTTTTTGCTGCGGTGGCTACACAAGAAAGCACATGCCTCACGGCCCTTGGACGCAAGGGTATGAACGAGTGAGGCACTTGTGCTAATGCCATACATATGCACCATCGTCTTTTATTATCACCAACTTTTGTCATCTATTCACATCACACACACCTTTCACCGCATGGTCATGATTTTATTACTTGTATGTTTTTACCCGCCTTACTGCGAGGAATTTTATGGCCCTTATACAGCCACTTATCACAATCATTGTCCATAATTTTAGTAAGATGAACTGGCGCTCTTTGGCCGTGAAATGGCCCTTGCGCCATAAAACATCAAACATCTTCTTCAACATCTTCTTCATCTACTCGTCGATTGCATGTGATTAATGATACGGTCATAAAACTGCATCTTATGTGAAACTGGTGGATCGTACCGCCATCCCACAGCCAGACGTCACGATCTTCTGGCTGCTTTTTCTGAGTTTTCATGCAGAAAACGTTGAAAGGCCCACCCATAATGTTGTGAACATATTTTTGGCTCATTGCAGCAAAGAGGAGGTTGAGCGCTGCAAAAAGCAGGACTTGCTGGAGGAAATGCTCGCCGAGATGACGGGCGAATTCCCTGCCCTGAGCAAAGTTTTCGTGAAGGAGCGGGACATTTTCCTAGCGTACTCTCTACGACTCGCTGCCAGCCCCATGCGTTGCATGAACAACCCCAGTGGTGAGTTGAGTGTTTCTTAAGATGCCTAAGTGCATGGTTCTTTTGCTGTAATTTGTTGGGCTGGCTTTCGACATGAAAACTGTTTTTCTTGAAACGCCACGTGACTTCATATCAGTAGTGTTATGGAGAAGCAGACAACAGCAGTAAGATAAGAAACGAGTGAGCATAAGAAAATGCTTTTGGGAGTTTCACAGGTTCTATCCCTGGCTGTGTGACTGTAATGCAAGAACAATTGTGTATCATGTGGCAAGTGCACATTGAAGAGCCCCATGTAGTTCGATTTCATCTGTGGTTGTCTATACATAATTCTCTGTAACTAAATGTGCACTTTAAAGATATTAAGCACCATTAAGTGTTTGAGAATAATCAAAACTGTCTGAGAATAATCAGTCGAATTCGAAAACAATGATGCCTCAATATAACAAAGTTACATTTGCTGTAGAAAACTTCGTTATATCAGTATTATTATTCAAAGTGTGCAGTACAAATACAGTGACTCTATGCCGCCCACACTGCAAAGACGATAACATTAAGGCGTTAAGTCTTACTTTTGCAGCTGTCAGTGGCCACCATTTATGCATTTCCATATAGAAGGTGTTATGCTATAGTTGCAGCTTTCCTATCAATAATGAAGATCTTTTGCACTATAGTGTTGCTTGGGCCACAGTTGGGGGCACACTTTGTGATAACATGCCATTGTGTTTAGTTTTGTTTGCCTGGCTTATTTTTAGCTGCCTGCCATTAACGTTGTCACATGAAAGGTCATCTGCGAAAGGGTGGTTCATTCTCGAACAACGTTTAGCGTTCTTTCATTTGTCATTGTGTGCATGCCATACACGTGGGTGCTACATTTCCTCTTTAAATTATGTGAAAATATGGCTTTTACTTGAGATAGAGTAGGGAGGATAAGGCAGTCGGCTACATTGTAGAATTCAAAAGATTAAGTTTAAGTAGCACAGCCGCTTTTTGGCTCTGTTATATAAACTGTTTGCTAATCGGATGCACAGGCGAGCAGCCGGTAGTTGTGGTTGGTGTCGTGGGCATCGGCCATGTTCCTGGCATAGTGGAGAACTGGGACAAGGTGTCCGACGTCGACATTCCTCCCATTATGAGGTAAGTCTTGCTCATGTTTTGATGCGACAATATTGTTATTGCAACATGATTTGACTATGGATAGTCTGACTGCGATGTACTAAACATGCATTCAAAAAACCCAGGTAATCAGAATTGTAACCTCTCTTTCGTAGCTCTTGCATTGCTTTTAATGTTAAAATTCATTAGTTGTCAGTTACTCGCTCAGTCAATAAATATTACAAACAAACAGGTGAAAGCAGTTGTTTTGTTGTGTTCATTTCATCACGTTACTACATAAAGTGTGCTTGCACAGATATACATGGTGAGGTCATTTTTTCTTTATTTGTGGAATTTCTTATCTCGAGAACAATTGTGCCTGAGAACCATGCTTCACATGCTATGCAGAATTTTCGTCCTCAGGTTTTCTTGTATTTAAATGACAGTAAGCTTAGCCACTCTGTCATAAGAGCTCCTTCACAAAGCCAGCAGTAACGGCAGTTGCCATTCGTGCTGACATTGTTGTGGTTTCGCAGAACTGCAGAAACTTCTAGGAATAAAAGTGTGATCTAGCACACACTTTTGAAGACATTCACTCATGTTTGTATGTACATACATTGCCGCCAACGTTTCCATTTCATTTCTCAATTTTTTCCAGAATTCCGGAACCCTCACTACCGTCCAAGGTGCTAAAGCTTAGCATCAAGGCCTCCCTACTGTCGCTGGTCGTGTGGGGATGCTGGAAAGCACTGCCTCCCTCCATCACCCAAAAACCCATCGAATGGGTTGCTGCGTTATATCATCAATAGATATGTAAGGTCACTTTAAATGTAAAGGAAAAAAAAAATTATGATGGTAACTATCGAATGCAGATCCTTATCTGCTTTGAAGAAGAAAAAAAGCCGTGCAAGAATGGTGCGCGGTCTTGATTTTGTGTACCATCAGCCATCGACAATGGGGTCGAAGCGGGAGAGTTGTGGTCAGAGACCTCTGGGTTTTTTTCGCTGATCAAGACGAAAGTGAGGAAGCTACCACTACTAGATTATTTCTTGAGGATCCATACGTGCTCACAATCGTTCATGTGCATCACCAAATTTGTAGACTGCCTTGCCCCGTTACAAAGCAGCACTTTTGGCCATGTTGGTGCTTTGTTAAGTCATTCAAATGGAAAATGCTTGTGATATAGTCGCTATAGTGTTCTTGTTTCCATCGAGAATTGCTGTCCGTTGGTGGGTCTTTATAATAAATGAGAAATGTGTCAGTTGTAGCATAATTTACTTGCATTTTCCCTTTAGATAAAACTTGTTTCATTACCTTCGTTTAACTTTTTTTTGCACAGCCTGTTGCTGTTAAGTGTTTCAAAGCAGTCATAGGCAGCCATAGGTATACACGCCGTCTCTTCCTCGCACTTTCTTGTTTTGACTTGCAGTACTTTTATGAATTTGCATGTATGTATGAGCTTGCGTTGTGCCTTCTACAGCACAAGTGGCACGTCGTAAAGATTAAAGTGTATTGTATTTATTATTTGGTGGCGTCTTTTTTTTCTTTCACTTCAGAGAAACACTTGTCCAGGGACTTTGTAGTGCATCATTCTGACAATGCTAAAGTGGCTTCTCTGTCACAATTTCACATTGGGTTGTTGTAGCTTAGCTTTCCAGAGTCACTGGGTGTCACAAGTGATGCTTGTACAATTGACAGTAGGTGAGATTAGAGGTGACAGTTACTGCTGTGGGATGGAGCTGTGGCAAAATGCATTTCTGTGGACAGCAAAGAGGCTGTACATGTTCTCTGTAATTGAAAGAGAGGGATAGCCTCGTCATAATCACAGGGAGGAGAGACAAGGGAGAGAGAAAAATAAAGGAAAAGGCAGGGAGGTTAACTTGGTAATTGGTTTTCTACACTGCACAGATGTGGGGAAATATGGGTCTGAAAGGAGAGAAAATAAAAAGGGTCACTTAGGAGGAAGCCCTCTGGTATCTTATGAATCTGAGTGTGACTAAATCATATCTATATGTGACCCTACAAGAAATAAATGTTGACAAGAATGTACGTTATGAATGTAAATACATCTTGATTTGCATATTAAAGATAATCAGACTAATTAACAAGGAGGCCCCGCCATCTAGGGGCTTTCATCATCTTCATTCCGAAGAGTGCCAAGCCCTCGCTTGTGTAGCTTAGAAGTGTGGCAGCTTGGGCTAGTTGGTATGGCATGACGATAGTTATAGCGCGAGAACAAAACGATGACACAGAGACGAGAAGGACACGAAAGCAAGACACGAGCGCTCGTGTCTTTCGTGTCCTTCTCGTCTCTGTGTCGTCGTTTTGTTCCCGCGCTATAACTATCGTCATCGTTAGTGTAGCGTTAGACTGCCGTTTCTTTCAGCATTCCTCAGCTATTTAATTGCTGTCCCGATTTCGCGCCTCATCGCCGTTATCATGAGATGCATGCCTAGGCAGAGTATCTAAGCTACTTCATTGTGTAGCCACGCCGCGGTGGTCTAGTGGCTAAGGTATTCGGCTGCTGACCCGCAGGTCGCGGGATCGAATCCCGGCTGCGGCGACTGCATTGCCGGCGGAGGCGGAAATTTTGTAGGCCCGTGTGCTCAGATTTGGGTGCACGTTAAAGAACCCCAGGTGATCAAACTTTCCGGAGCCCTCCTCTACGGTGTCTCTCATAATCGTATGGTGGTTTTGGCATGTTAAACCTCACATATCAATAAATCAACTTAATTGTGTTAAAAAGCGGGCGCACGTTTTGATAACGCGCCTAAGCGCATGCGCCACTCGACCGCCTTGGCACAATGGATGCCAATGCTATCTCCGAAAGCGAAACTGCTACTTCTGCTGCAAGCAGGGGGCGCCAGCGATTTCCCTAGTTCGTTTTTTTCGAGGTTCGTTTTTGATTCGCTTTCGCGCATTGCGAAGATGGCTAGCGAAGATGTAGCCGTAAAGCGGGTAGCGTTCTGTTCAGCCGTGTTTGCTGGCTTTGCCTACGTTGGTTATTCCATACTGAAGTCCGCATTTTGCTTCAAAGGCTATGGTCGAGACGACAAAGGTGAGTGGATGCCGCGACACCGTTTCTGCCGGACGACCACCCGCCGCTGGTGATCCAGTCGTTCAATTGCCTTTGCCGAGCACAAATCGCGGTCAAGGAAATCGTTTTCCATTAACGAGTGACGCTTTTGTCAAAGCAAAGCCGACTGCCGACACTGACACCTGAAACTTAAAAGACCAAGTTAATTTTGATACTTATTCTTGCCGGACTGCGCGTGCATGTCATGCCCAATGCGTGGCGCGTGTCTTCCCGTGTTTTGAAGTGTAAATGCCTTAGTTTGACATTCTCCCTAGCTTTTTCAGCCAATAACTACGAGAAATATTTTTCCGCAGCAGCTTGTACACAGCGAGCTAATGCCCTAGTAAACGAGTGACCTTGCTCACACAGATCGATAAAGCGCGCTAGACGTCAATCTCCTAGCTCTAAATGGTTAAGGTGTCTTTTCGTGACATTAGTGTTGTAAATTTTGCAGGTGCATTCGCAGATAGATTCATGTTACGCGTTACAAAGCATAGAAAACCGCGTGAATTTCCTGTAGCATTGTTTGCTCACCGCCAACATACTTAAGAATCCGTACATCGATCTGTATGTGTATTCAATCGAAGTAATGCCTTAGAACTCGCGTTGTGGCAAGCTTGTTTTGTCGTGATTCTGTGGAATTATTTGTTTTAAACGTTAGACACTGTTCGAGCCATTGACATTATTTGTATACTGACCTGCAGGATCTCGAAAATTGGTCAAGTTGAAGAAAAAAAGAAAACTCAAAGAACCAGGTTTGTTATGGATCTTTCTTTCCGTCTTCTCCACTGTTGCCTTCCTCTCATTATCGCAGGATGAACGTTTTGTTTGTTGTTCAGTGCTTTCAGTGAATGGATGTCTTTGTCAATCTACTCCTGATACAACTAATTATTTTAGAAATACCTACAGATTGAGGAAAATGATAGCCTAAATTATACAGTCACGAACTAAAACGCTCATGTGATGTAATTAGCCCATTTTAGTCAATAACAAGGTCGCATATATTCATGATGTACACATACACCTGCTTATTTCAGCAGATCTCATAACATATGAAGCTAGTACAATTGATGGTCATAAGAACCTTTTTTGCAGTTTAAGGCATTAGTAACTCATCTGAGAGATAACAAACATGTCATGGCCATGAACTTTTTTAAAACAGACATGTAAGCTATTCTCAGTCATCCGATAAGGCGACACACTTCTTGTGCGCATTTGTCTACTGTGCATGCTTGGATAAAAACATACAACTACCTCTCACATGTGTTATTTACGTTAAAAAACAAATGTTTGCAACCTCTCATTTATTTATCCTGCATGTCCAGCTATTGCAAACACTAATCTACAAGAAACACACCCCATGCGACTGCGATTTCTCCAAATAAGTTCAACCGCAGGGGCATCTTAATATGTGATGTAATGCTAGAGTATTGTTATGTGAGCACATGCATACCCTCTCCTTCTCTCTTTCTCGTACATACATAAAAGCAGTCATGCAGGCTGACAGGCCGCCCTTTAGCAAAGGAACACCCTAACATACCCTTCTGTTACGCTGAAAAAAACAAAAGAAAAGAAAATTGCCCCAAGTTTATCGAAAAAAACATTTTGCTGAATTTGTAGATTATTTTTTTCTGATAAAATGGTGTCATTCTTTCAATTAATTGGGGTGTCATTCTTTCACTAATTGCATAAAAAAAGGATAGCTTAAAGGTAGCTTTACTGCATGGCAATACAATGAAAGATGTAAATAACAATGGCACAACATGCACAAGTGTGGCCATCTAATGTCAAGAAACACAACTCTAATAAGTTTATTCGCCATTGGTTCCATGTGAGACAAATTTTTGTTGATAAGTACAGTCATCAGTCTCTGGTACAAAATCTCATGATGACTATACTGGTCAATTGGAGCGAAAGAGGCACTGGCTACACCTTTCTTGCTTGTGTGACACAGTGTGCCCTTAAATTTGTTATTAATACAACTAATGTTGACCCGCGATGTTCTTTAATCTTGATTTCAGAACGCGATATGAGCCACCGCTCAAGCCAGACAGACCTCAGCGTTCCACCCGAGGAATACATCACGAACTCCCCCGCGGAACTGCACTTCATACCGAAGTCTGTGCGTAACAAAGTGCGCGAACTGAACCTCAAGGCCCGCATGTTTGACGACCAATACTTCGCGCGCATCTTCAAGCCTCATAGCTTGCAGAACTCGCCTTGGGGATCGCCCAAAGCCCTGAGCCCGGTTGCCGACGGCAGTAGTAACAACTGCTACCTGAGCCGCTCGGCCGAAAACGTCCACCTGGGTCCGCCTTCACCCCTAAAGAGGAGAAACTCTGGCCGCTCTGCAAGGTCGTCGCCTCGTGCATCGCAGCACTGGCAGTGCAATGACTTGAGTGCCAACCACATGTCGGAGAAGTCTCTTTACTGTGCAGTTGTGAAGGAAACTGACGAGCTCCTGCAAGAGGTGCTTCACGGGCTTTACAACAAGGCGAGGGTTATGACCCTGTACGAAGCGAAGTGTCTCGCAACGCTGTTGATGTCGGCGAATGAAGACGTCCTTGTAAAGACCCTTACAACTATGTCGAATTGTGCAGCATTCACAATTAATCAGGTTTGTAACATTATAGTATCTTACCCTTTTCATTTGTCGACATGGATAGTTGTGATGCCACATTTCCTTATGTAACTGATAAAACAGTGCAGATCTTTCCCAAGCAGACAATAGAGCCTTGCTACACAGTTTAAGTGTATACTTCTGCTGTTTAGTTTCATGATATGACTGTTCGTACTGAACCCACAATCTTTGAGGGCTGTGCATTCGGTCCCCATCGGTGGCAAGTTTGTTTCTTTTTTTTTGTCCACTTTTATTTCCCTTTTATCTAATATTACAATGCTGTAATTAAAGAACACAAGAACCCCTGTGCTTTCTTGGGCTTCATTAGATTCTGCAAACAATATTTAACGAAATATCTGCTCAGGCATAATACTAGGATTTAACCAAGAAGTGCATCTGTTATATCACACGATAAACTTAAAGGGGCCCTCTAACACTTGAAAACATTGGTGTCGACTGCATAACTCGTAGTGGCGCTCGCCAGAACAACCGCGAGCGGAAATGACGCCGGAAGGTTGCCGCCATATGATTTGATAAATGTAACATTAAATGTGATGGCGACATTGCATCAAAATAGGGATTACTATTGGATTTATTTTTTAATTAGCATGATTTTTCACTCAAATCAACAGAGAATAAAGCTCTCTGACTTTTCCAGCTTGAAAACTGCAAAGCTGGTGAAAGAAGGCACCGAACGCTATGTGCTGGAGGAAACGCGCCGGTGACGCTCCGGGCGCCATGATTCTAAGAAACTAAAAGAAAAGAATGTAAGAGCATTAATATATATCCATCATTGCAAAAAGAAAAACCAGTAAAGCTACAAAACATTATAGAAGCGTTCGCGAGCGAGCTCGTTTCGCACGTGTCGTTCCCTCTTCAAGTACCACACTGTTTGTTACCATCGCAACAGCGTCCTTAACACGCTGGACGTAACAGGCAATATGCGGTGCGAGCTTCCTGTAGGGTAGGGCTTTCAATTCATTTCATTGGGCAGCCTTCCAAGGTCAGAGAGCGAGAAACATGGTAAGGTGATGCCGCGAAAATCGAGTTGAGGATAAGCGTTCATTTCATTGTATTTTGATATCTCTACGCTGAATAACTTTGCACTGCCCGGCCCTATCACTACTGTTCTTGTGGCACTTATCTCTTAAGCCATCAGTGTAGGCAACCAGCTAGAAAAATGTGTAAATCATAGTAGCCCTAAAAAGTGTTACAGGGCCCCTTTTACGCCTTCCCATGGTTTCATCTAGCTAAATTAGTAAGTTCAGGGGATTTACTATATCAACATTTTCAATATAAATGTCTCACTTTGCAGGACTACCTTTGCGATGTTGGGTGCCTACCACTGCTGAAGGGCCTGTTGGACCATGACTGCATTGCAGTGCAGGTGGCAGCTACACAGGCCATCGCCAATATGGCTGTTAATGAGAGAAACCAAAGGCTGTTGCAGGCAAGCTTGCTTTCTCTGCTTTTTGCAACTATACCAGTTAAGGGCACTTCAACTTGATTCCAAAATGTCATTCGCAAGTTTAAAGCATCAACATGTTCCATTAGCAGCCTCAGTTGCCGGATCAGGAAACTGAATATTTTCACATCCAGATACCGATTTCGAGCCTTGATGTGTTGCCTGTCAAGCAGAAAGCTTCGTACATCTTTGTTGCATTTTGAGGTGTCACCGTGATAGTGCTGCTTTTGCTCTCTCATAATTACCACCATGCCATGTAGTGATCATTACTTGTCATCAGGCCACATATTGGCAGCACTGTAGCACTCGGCATACATGATCTACAGTGTGCACACACATGTCAAAGCTGTAATCTATTGTAGCGCTTACTTAGCGTGATAGTACAAAAACACAATTGAGTGAGGACAGAGGCAAGAAAAAGATGGGACGTGATTTTACATCCCAACTAGTCCTCATTATCTTTTCTGCCCTAGCTAGTTTTTGCTGGATTGCATTATTGTTATATGTTTGTATTCAGTAGCCCTCTACGACTTCTTAATGTTCATTGAACAAATTACACGAGTGAGAGCATGCGTTGCACCCTCTTGCGTTAGCTGATTTTAACAGCAATCCTACCCTTTGATGAGGGGGAGAGAACTAGGCATGTGCAAATAGTAAATTTTAGGTTTGAAGTGAATAGTGATTTGGTTGAATAATTCCTAATCGAATTCGAATAGTACATATCACATATTTTACATGAAAATGAGCATATTTGTCACGACCCAACTAACCTGCACTATAGTTCTTGAAATTAAAACAAGGCATATGCAAATGTCATTAATTTTACAGCAAAAGCTGTTATGAGATCACTTTTCAGCTCGCGTGCAGTTGTTGTTGTCCACCACCGCCGCTGCTGCCGGTGTTCGTAACCACATAGCAAGAAATTCGAAAAAAAAAAAAAAGCTTTGCACCAATGACACAGTGGGGCATGAACCCCGGGTCTGCTGGGTGTCAGCCCAATATTCTACCACTGAGTTATGCCGGTGCTTGTAACTTGTTGTCAAACTTGCCTTAGGCAGGCATGATAGCACCAATGGCACAGTGGGGCTCGAATTCGAGTCCGCTGGGTGCCAGCCCAGTATTCTACCACTGAGCTACACCGGTGCTTGTGACTTGTTGCAAACTTGCCTTAGGCAGGCTTGATGTCGGGACAGCAATCACGTTAATACGACTTATAAAGCGTTTTACAACAGCGAAAGAACAACCAGTCATCGCACAATGTCATTAGTGTAACGGGTGGGCCGTCCAATGCTCCAACCCATAACAAAAGCTTGCTCTTGTTCACCTATTAACTGTGGCGCATACCCACTTCAGGCATAATTCATCATCATCAGCCACTGCATGAACAATTGGCATAAAATTCCTTGCAAGTGTTTAGCGCATACCATGCTTCTCAGAAGAATGACGAAAAATAGCATAGTGAATGGCGGCCTACTACCCATAAAATTTTATTATTAATGCCCTCGTGGGTACCAAGCAAGTACCCAATAAGTGTTTACCTTACCCAATACGTAGTTCCGAATACCCAATAAGTGTTTTGAAAAAGCTCTGAAAGGCCACTCTTCTAGCTTTCGCTGGGACTGTGCTGCGCCTACCACGCAGGCCTGGCGTTTTTTGTTTAAAGGGAAGTTGAAGCAACTCTGATTAGTAGCAGAGAGTACCAAGATTTGACTTTCAGTAGTATGTAATTGATAATCTTTAAAATACCTTACTATTTAAAATCTACTATACTTGCAGCTTATGAGCTAAATGGACAAGCTTTAAAATAAAAAACAATGATTAGGTAATCGATGTGAGGCGAAAAGCAGAAAATGTTCATTTCACATTGGAGCAGGGCTTCGCGGCAATGCTGATTTCTCTAGGATAGGTGTATTCGCAGTATATCATCCCTCCACTGCTGTGAAACAACCTATACAGTTGGTTACATGAGGTTTTTATCAATTAATCCACTGCAAATACTTTGAAATTCAGAATTCATGTGGAAGCTCATTTGAATATTGTAATATTTTTTTGAATATATAAAGCGGTCAAATAATTGCACATGCCTAGAGAAAACACGTTTACACTCATCAAGCGAATCTTGTAGAGAGCCAGCACTGATACCAGGTTGCTGTTTCAAATGTGAAATACATGTAATCATACCATTGTACTTTGACTGGTGTGAGAACTGCGTAAGTAACATGACATCACTGATCTAGTGAAGCAGTTTGCCACATTGTATCTCAGTTTTTGACAAAGCAGCTATGAAGGGACACTTAAGTAACGTGGAGCTAATGCAGATGACCCTATGAGAATTAGATGAGACTGGCCCTTTTCAAAGTGCTAGAGCTCTGAAAAGGAGACAAATAAGAACACATTCTAACAGTGCTTTTATTGTGAACTCCTTTGAGAGTCGTCACTGCTTTTTTTTTTTTTTTTTTCACAGCAAGCAAATGCAGGCTAGATGCACATTCGAATGCTCGTGCGTCATTGCTGTGAAAAAAGAACACAGGGCACATGCGGAAGCGTACTGGATACGAGATAGCCTGCCGTGTGTCCCGTGTTCTTCTCATGATGCCATGATGCATGGCTACCCATTTTGACATCACAAAGAGTTGTGTGTTTATTCATTTACTAAAGTACCTACAGTGCCTTCATAGGAATTAATGTGAGGGAACTACAAAAAGAAATCATATGACACACGACATGAAACAGGACGAGGAGGTAAGTTTGTTTACAGAAAGGCAGAGAGGTCGGCCTGAGCGATAGCTTGCTCTAGCCTGCTACTCTACACTGGGGGAAGGGAAAGGGGAAAAGAAAGATTAATGGATGACGATGGTGAGATAGAGAGGTGAGTATGTAGTGTTCTTTCTAGCTGAGACACATTTTATAGCCGCGCACATAGTCCAGTTGTTTTTAAAAAGGTAATAACTGCTCTTGTGACCGCAGTTGCACTGTTGGTGTCTGGCCAAGGGCCCAACATGGTCTCATCAGTTAATGATCTACTGCGATATAGTTCAGTAGAAGAAATCAGTGTTTGTCGTTCACGTGCGTATGCTGGGCAGACACAAAATATGTGCTCAAGTGTTTCTGGCACATCACAGTGTTCACAATTAGGACCGGTGTCACTGCGACCGATGATATGTGCGTATCGTCTGGTGTACGCTACACCAAGACGAATGCGGTGGATCATACTTGTGAGTTGCCGTTTCAATTTAGGAGGCATGCGGAACCTCATTTCCGGGTCCCATTTGTGAAGTCGCTGGTGTCGCCGTTCCGGTTTGGTCCAGTGCTGAAGTGTGTAGCTGCGCATCACGCAGCGAAGCAGGGCGTTCGTGTCAGCTCGTGAAAACGCAATGCGTACTTCAGGAGCACTGCTTAAGGCATTTTTAGCTTCAGCGTCTGCCTCTTCGTTTCCCATCACGCCGCAATGAGCGGGAATCCACTGGAAAGTTATAAGATGGCCATTTGTTGAAGCAACCTGAATAAGTTCTGTGATTTCTATTGCCAAGCTGTAATATGGACCTTGCTTCATGATGCAATTAATGGTTTGCAAAGCGGGTTTGGCATCACAGAAAATCGTCCAGGCTCGAGGTCGCTCTCCGGAAATAAACCTTATCGCCTCTCGGATAGCGACAAGCTCTGCGGCAGTTGATGTGGTTTTATGGTCCACTTTGAATCGTCGAGCGATATCCATGTCTGGGATGACAAAGGCTGCGGCGGAGGTGTTTAGCGTGGTGGATACGTCGGTGTACACGTGCAGAGAATCACTGTACATTGTATAAATGTGATATAGGGTCAGTTGTCTGAGGCCAACAGAAGAAATGAGCGACTTCTTCATAATTCCAGGTATCGTAAAAGAGATAGGTGGTTTAGGCAGAACCCATGGAGGCACTGCAGGGGCATTTGGCGGAGAAAACCTTGATGGTATAATATTTTCATGCCGCGATATTACTTTTGAGAAACTGCAATCTGGGTGAGTGGCGGGTAGTACTGACAGTGGGTGCTGTCTGTGTCTGCTCAGTAATCGGAGGTGAACTCTAAGTGGCTCGCAGAGCATGTATACACTGATAAGACAAGCCCGAGCCTCTGCGATTGTCCCATTTGTTGAAGTGCAGCGCGGTAGACCCAAGCATCTTCGTAAGCATTGAGCTTGAACACTCTCGAGTGTCTTCACACAACTAGGTCTCATATTGGAAAGCACCGGCATGCTGTATCGAATGTATACCACAAATAGAGCATTGTATAATTGAAGTAGCAATGATTCTGATGGGCCCCATCTTGCTCCTGCTACGTGGCGAAAAATGAGAGCAAAGCTCTTCAATTTAGATTTAAGTACTGCAACATGCCTCGTCCACGATAGATCTCTGTGTACGACAACCCCAAGGAACTTGTGGTGCGTTACAGCAGGTATCGCTGTCCCATTAATGAATATCGGGTATTGCGACATATGCTTGCGCGTGAACGCAAGCACTGCGCATTTGTCGATTGAAAGAGAGCCCTTGACATCGTAGATATTTGTATGTGATCGTCACTGCACGCTGTAGTCGAGCTCGCAATTGCGGACGAGTAGTTCCGGATGCCCATATGCATATGTCATCAGCGTATGCAGTGATCTTCACCGTGCTGGGAAGTTCTGCTGCTGGGCCGATCATTGTGACATTGAATAGGATCGGGCTGAGAACTCCTCCTTGGGGAACACCACGATGAACCTTATATCGATCGGTGTCTCCGTTACTTGTCGTCATGTAAATGATGCGGTCCCTAAGGTAGCTAAAAATCCAAGCGTACAATCGTCCACCGATGTCGAAATCTTCCAGTGCGTCAAGGATCGCATAATGCAGCACATTATCGTAGGCACCCTTAATGTCTAAGAAGACCGCCGCCACTAGTCTGCGTCGGCTTCTTTCCTCTTCAGCGCTGGTGATCAAGTCGACCACACCATCAATGGCAGATCGGCCTCTTCTGAAGCCGTTCATAAATGCAGGAAAGGAGTTGTTGCTCTCTAGAAGTCGCTCTAATCGTGCCAGTACCATTCTTTCCATCACTTTTCCGACGCAGCTGGCTAAGGCGATTGGTCTGTAGGAGGAAAGTGCATAAGGACACTTCCCCGGCTTGAGCAATGCAATAATGCGATTGCATTTCCAATTAGCTGGGACTTCTCCTGACTCCCATGAGGTGTTATATTGAGATAACAGGATACGTCGTGCTTCTGTATCAAGATGGTTGAGTGCAGCATACGTGATTCCGTCAGGTCCTGGTGCCGATGACCGGCGGGAGGCAGAAATCGCAGTGTCAAGCTCATGTATTGTAAAACGTACATCAAGGCGCTCGTCAGACGATGGAGGCGCAATGGTAGTAAGAAGCTCATTAGTGGCAAGACCATCAGTGGTGTCCACGGTGAGGCTACAGTGGTCACTGGCTATCTCAACTGCTGTCCGTCCCTGATGTAGAACAACAGCTTGAAATGGTTGACGTTGTTGGGGAGTTGTCTGCAAACTTCGTACCACCCGCCAGATCTTAGATAAAGGTTGCCTGGGGTCCAGAGATCCACAGAAATTCCTCCAACGTTACCTGTCAATCTTGTCAAGGTGCCGAAGAACATATCGTTGAGCTCGACGACAGGCGGAAAGGTCTGAAGGTGACTTCGTTCGTCTGTATCGGCGTTCAGCACGGCGACGGATTGCACGAAGGGCCTCGTATTGGGAGTCAACTGCTGATCTCTGCATCGGTAGGTTAACCTGTTTGGTTGTGTCACGCAGTGAAGAAGCCATGATCTTTTCTACCTCGGATGGATCAGTCGTGTGCTCACAGCCAGACTTGACAGATGCCTTGCACAGTGTCTAGTCGGTTTGACGGATGTAGCGTGTGTGCGTGCGGCGAAACCACCTGAACTGAACATAGGTTCGAAGGTGGTCACTGCCGCGAGTGTCCAAATCTGTGCACCAACATGCGGAAGACAGAAGGTTTCTGGAAACGAGACAGAGGGCGAGGCAGCTGCTGTAGGACGTGCCACGAACAAATGTAGGTGATTTATCGTTGAGTACGCTTAGTCCATAGTTGTATATAAAATTGGCTAAATCCTTTCCGCGATAATTCGTTGTAGTGCTACCCCAGAGAGGATGATGTGCATTAAAATCGCCGATCACAATGTGTGGCCTTTGTGCTGCTTGAAGAATGGTCCCCAGGTGGAAGCAGTCCATCTGTGCGCTTGGGTGTATGTATCCTCCTATTACGGAGAACGTTCGCTTTTTATGTGTTATAGTCAGGCTCACGTAATCATTGCTGGTATGCGACGCGACTTCATGTCTCAAGAACGTCAAATCACGGCGTATACAAACGAGAACTTTGCTCATACGTTGATCACTGCGGGACCAAATCTGGATATATCCAGATATATGAAAAGGTGAAACCATATTCGGTTCACATATAACGATAACAAGAAATTGATATTTAAAAACCCATTGTCTGAAGTCTGACAGACGGCCACGTAGGTCACGAGCATTCCATTGCATAACAAGCGACTGGCGCATGCGTTCTTCGAACATCAGTGCCATGTTCACTTACTGAAGAACCAGTAGAAGAGGCTCCAAAACCTCAAGTAGCTGCACAGCCGCCTTAGCAGCGGGAGTGTTTAGGCTGCTGAGAATCTTACGCATCGAACCCATCAAATTTTTAAGCATAGCCTTGACATCTGTGTTGTCCATCTTCTTGTTTTCTTCATTAGGGGTAGGGGCACTATGTGATGATGGCGCTACCGTAGCTCTTGACGGTAGTGAAGGCCACTGAGTCTCCGACATGGGGAGAGCCAATGACTGGTTACATTGTACTTGCTTGGACTGTATTGGCATTTGAGCATCTCTATCCTCCTTTCTGGCCGACAAAAGTAGGCTAGGAGGTGGTGAGGGCACGGTTTTGTGTGTCGAATTCGATAAGCTATGAGCACTGCTGCTTCGTTTGCGTCGATGTCGCGAACGATGTTTACGGCGCCGTACAGCCCTTGCAGCTTTTCTGTGAGTGGAGTAATCTCGAACCATCTTCTTCAGGATACTAATTTCATTCCTCATTTTGGGACATTCCTTTGATGTTGCGTCGTGGGCGCCTGAGCAGTTTGGGCATTTGGCCACAGCATTGCAGTTATCACCATCATGAGGGCCACCGCAATGCTTGCAGGTTACTGCACCCTTGCGAACTGCACTAACGTGCCCAAATTTCATGCATTTATGACATTGCAGAGGTTTTGGTACGTAAGGACATACCGAGTGCCTCACGTACCCAACTTTTACATGTGTGGGTAACGTCTTCGACTGAAACACTACTTTAACACATCGCGTGCGTCCAAAGCGGTGGAAGCCAAGCACAGGAGCCGACGATGACAGCACTTTCTCGAGACTCGAGTCTGTTATCTCCTCATCCACATTGTATGCAACTCCTGTTGTCGTTTCTTCGTCGTACGCGGAGAATGCGCGAACCGGAATATTTCCTAATCGAACAATCGCTTTCAGCGTGTCCATTAAGGCCTTCGTAGTGACCTCCACGGACAGTATGTTCTTTCGGGTATTTATGCGTATTTCTACGACTTTCCCTGGAGCGATGAGCTCAAAGTACTCTGTGAGGCTCTGCCTATTCAGAGAGTTCAAGATGCCTGTCTTCGATGTCGGCACATACGAAATGGTGTACGACCGCATGCTACTCGCCTTTGTCTGTGCTTGCCGGCTAGTGGGCGATGTCCGGCTGATTTTCCTCTTCAGGCGTCGGCTTGGTACGACCACGTAGTCACTGTCCGAAGCCATATCTTCAACGGAGGAGTCATCAGAATTGTCAACGTGGGCCACGCTTGGGCCGGGGTGAGAACTTGCGTCAGACGCACTATGATGTGGTCGGCCCGGTCCCGGTTGCTGGATGGGGTTTTGATCCCACATTCTAAGGGGGAATGCCCCTTCGAGGTGTGTCGATTATTGAAAAATCTTGGCAAAATAATTAGGAAACTCACAGAGCTCGAAGCAGAGGCTGTTCTCTGTGACAACTTCTTCTTCTTTCTGAAATAGAATGCCATATGTTCATGCCTATATGGCATGGAGCGACTGAAGAAACACAGCATTTGAAGCTATATTTGAAATATCACTTGGTAACTGATTCCCAGTTGCATTGTTGAAAAGCTAAACAGATTATAGTACAGTAAAACCTAGTTAATTCGAAGTCACTGGGGCCGCGAGAAAGCTTCGAATTAAGCGACTTTTTGAATTAACAGAACATGAAACTTAGAACTATTCAAAGTAATCAGTGCTCGTCGTTTGCTGTGCCTGTTAGCTTGCGGCTCCAAAGGTTATGTTTTCCAGCAATACCTAGTCTTTATTTTGCTGTGAACATGGAGGAACGATGGGGCTCACTGCTGCCACCGAAAAAAAAAAAAAAAAAAATGCGGTCGTAATTGACTGAATTGTGCGCCTGCACCTCGCTCCGTCAGCACGTCATGATGCGACGATTGGCACATTCTTTCTATTATAATTATGGATTTAATAATGGCCAGCATGACCAAGCTCACGATGTTTTTTGGCTGGAAAAAAAATGATCTTTGAAACTTTCTAACTTGGTTTTCGAAGGTGTTGCTGACAAAAACTCCGCCAGCAGTGCAAAAACGCGACTTGCTGGAGCAACCGGCAATCGGATGTTCACATACATCGCTATTTGTGCTAAACTGTCCTCTATTAATTTCTTTACAATCCCAGAAAGAATGGGTAAACAATGACCCGCTGACGTTGCGAGAAACATGCAATAAGCTGCCGGCATGTCACTGCTGTGCTGCAGTGAAGGATGGCTCGTTTTCCACAGGCGCAAGTTTTGGTTGACCACGAGACCAGTTTTTTTTTGTTTTTTTTTTTTTTAGTGCTGAAAGTAGCCAGGCTGGGGTGTTTCAGCTGTCACTCGTTAGTATCGATACATTGCGTTGCCTTGTGGCTATTAATAGCCATCATTCCGCGGATTCGCTGCGAAACCCAAACCTGGAACTGGCACATGGCACCCAAAGTTTTCTAATTAACCGGACTAGGGCTGGCCGACGCTTCAAGTTATCCACTCAAACTTACGTTGCAAAATGCGAGACCGGGGAAATCCATTGTATTAAGAGGGATTTCGAAGTAACCGAGTTCCAATAAACGAGGTTTTACTGTATCACATAATGTTTTTCTCACTTCAAGTTTGTGATCCACTCTGATAGAAACGAAATCTGGGACATGCAAATACTTTGTGATACAAATATCTGTTCTTGAATGGAAGATATTGTTGAAAAATTCCAGTTTATCTATCAAACTTCATTTTTGCAGAGTGTGCCACCTGTGGTGTCCTTGTTGCCGTGCCGGGTTCCGCTTGATATCAATCACAAAAGTGAAACAAGTCGCAACTTTTGTTTTTGCAGCCGTGCATTCCTTTGTTGCTGTCAGCTGCCGTATCGCGGGACGGTGGCTGCTACCTGCAGACAGTGTCGCTGCTCTGCCTGACCAACCTGGCACTCTGTGACGACACACATGAGGCCTTCCGTGGTCGTCTGTATCACCTGTGCATCCTGGTAGAGACGGCAGATGATACTGTCCGACTCCAGACACTAAAGCTACTGGTCAACTTGTCTTGCAACTCCCGCATGGTCCCCTACTTGCTGGCAGCCAAGGTTGTGAACATGAACTCATTCTTTCTCAGCCTTTTTTGCCCTTGTCTAATTAATACAGTAGAATTATTTTTTTTTACTGAACATAGTAAATATAGAATCAAATGTTCATTCTTAATGTTGCCTAAATAAGAGCTTCAGGCATGCATAGCTATCCAAGCTAATCCACTGGCTTATCTGATCTGGAATTTCATTGCATTTTCTTATAGTATGATGCAATTTTTCACAGAACACTTGCAAAATACAACCTTTGAGCATTTATATTTGCAAAAGAGTCCCTTACGATGTTGCACTTTGCTTGACAGGCACCACAGAACCTGTTTACACTGCTGGAAGACTCAAATCGGGAAGTGACTCTCCGAGTACTGACCTACCTGGCGAACATCGTTACCTATGCAGTCAAGAAGCAGCTCAGTCTATTGGACTTGCCCTCAGAGTACAGGGCAGCTGCCCCCGAAACATTGTACGCTGCACTGTGGGGTTCCCCATCTAAGGAGCACCTACAACTGAAGACACGGACGCTTGTTCTCCGAGCAGACGAAGACATCAGCTTTCAGGCTGGCCGCATCTTTGATGCATTGATGAGGTAACTTATCCGAGATGTGTAGCACGTTGTGCTGAAATGGCTTAGCGTGGTAGCTTGCACTCTATTCCAAGCTGCAGGTACTTCTGTTTGTGTATGCCACGTTGTTTTAGTGTCACAGACTACTGGTGTTTGCTTGCTAGCATAAGTTTCCTTCTGTTTTCACTGTGGTTGTCATTGCCCTTTATTGTTACCAACTTAAACATTGTCACAACTACTGTGATTGCCTAGTCACTTGCGTATATTGATAGCTTTCGTTAGTGTTCAGTGAAGATAATACATGAGCCCAGGATTATTTTCGGCCTTGTCAGTTATGCTGGAGCTAGAGAAAATCCACACGAACCATGCTTGCTTCTTGTGCAAGTGATATTGGATTGTTCCACTGGTCTTCTTTTCCTGTGAAGTTTCAGACTATTCATACTAACAGAATGCCTTGTCAAGTCATATTCAATTATGTCTAACTCTATCCAAGAATCTAGTAAAACCAGTTTGAAGGTAAGTTCACTCGGCATCAGATAAAGTCCATTCAAAATGAATTACAGTTCCTTGTAATTCAATGGCTGTTCTGTTCATGAATGTAAATGAAGAAAGCAACCACTGTCTGGAAGCAGGCTTTTTTTTTTTTAACTGCAGTATCTGCATTTATGAAAGACCAATGCTAAATGCTGTGCTGTTACTTAATGTGTCATCATGGTAGCTTGTGTGCAAAATGCTCATCACACAGCTGCTCTTGTGGTCAAAATATGAAAATTTATTCATGCAAGGTTTGCTGCAGCAGTGCATACGCATCAGGAACAAAATTCAGGTAGCGATTGGGGCTTTTTGAAAGCAGTGACCACAGTGCGCTACATTAGAGTTACTAATATTTGTAACAATCATTTTCTCATATACATCTGAGTTTTTGAAAAGCCTGTCACCTTTATAGTTGCAAGCATTTGCCCATGGTAACTGCTTGCCATTAAAGGAAGCCACTACGGTAAAAGGTAGTTGATTTGGTCCTCGTTTACTTGTAAAACTGGATGATTCAGACATATTCTCTGCTCTTGGCAAGCATATACATTGTTTAGTGGTATCAATCTATAGTTAATTCATTTCATTTGGCTGCGACCTGGTTTATTCATATACCTAAATGAAGAGTGCAATTGTTTTCTTGATAGTAATCGATAATTTGGCGTTCTGTAAAGTGTGGCATTTTTTCCAACGTGATGAAATCTGAATTAACAAGCTTTTGCTGCATGGAAATGGGTCAGCCTGTCCAGACATGTGCTGTGTATCGCAGTTGTCACTGATCGTACACCAGGAGAGCTTCTGTAGGTGAAGTCGAAATTTCATGCTGTTTCTAAAATTCACTGCACAGAGTGAAAAGAAATGACCAATAGGCAGATCACACAGTATGCAATGCTAGCCTCCATTAAGTTTTGTTGTTAGAAATTCGTTGAATAGTATGCAGGTTCGATGTATTCATATTCAACTGTACATGCAAGAGGCTGCTATCTCACCAGCAAACCATTGTATGCAATGAATTTCTGCATTAATGCATGGGAAATAACTTTGACAATGCAATCGAGAAAGAGCTGACCCAGACATTGCCAGAATGTGCTATACTTTGGCATCAATAATGTTACATGCCAAGAAATCCCCACGTGCAGTTATTGATGCATTCATTTTACAAAGCCAGGCTAGCGCATATGCTGCTATAAGCTGAGCTGCATGCATGTGCTGCACATCTCAGTAATGATTAGTGATAGAGTGTGACTATGTGAAAACTTCGAAAATTAGTTAACTAACACAAAAGATATTGGAACTGTAAAGTAATATACTTGTTGCTTCTGCTTTGTTAAAGAGTGCATTAAAATTTTAAGTCTCCTATGTTGTAGCTCATAACAAAGAATAGTATTAGTGTTGATTCTGCTGTAAGTAGTCATCACGGATTTGCGGATGTTTAACTTGAATGCTTGTGTATCCTTGTAAATGTACCTAACTGTAAAATTACAAAGTTGAGGTGAGCTTGTACACTTTCAAATTACCAAGAGTATATTTGTAGCACTTATTTTCTGTGCCACCTGTGTGCTGAAGAGCGGTACATACTGTAGATACTTCTGAAGGAGTTCGATTATCCTGGTCATCTCAGACCTCCAAGAATGTTATGATGCAAAATGGAATGGTGTGTATCTTTGCATGTTGCACTGTAATGGTGTATGCTACTTGTTCTTGCTTTCTTCATTTCGTTCTAAGCCATGTTCATTCATGTGAGATGGAGTTCTGATGTGCTTTGTGTAAAGCAGGGAAACACAACTTGTCTTCACTCATTACGCATACTAGCATTTCGACGCCGGTAATTAGCACGTGGTTTATTAGAACATGACCAGTGTCCTTTGCTGATGACATGGCAGCCTACAGCGTAATTTAGATCCAAGCCTTTTGTTTTACATTCTGTGAACTGCTATCTGTGTCCTATGAACCCTTATTTCCTATCAAATTTCTTTTGCATTTGAATGGCACATTTATACTGGAGCTCTTGAATTATTTTACAATGCAAGAGCTGCGGAGTATGATTGATTATGCCTGAATGTCTGTATGAAAAACTGTGATAATTACTAGTGCTATGAATGGCTGAAGTGGTCTTGACGGCGATATGCAGATGTGATCCGAACCATTTAACGTTTACCTCTCCCCCTCCTTCTACCCCTTCAAAAAAAAAAATGCTCAGCCTGGAGCTCTCCTTTTCCTTAACACATACCTTGCCAGCCCTTGCAAGTTTCCTATGAATTTTAAAAATTTGGCCTTGTTTTAAGATATCACAAGTGTTTTACCCAGTTCTACATTCTACAAAATCTAGTTTTCTGCAAGGAAGTTTCTCTGGTCCATATCAAGACACCCCAGGAATCCTAGTGGTGAAAAGACGCACCACAGAGATACCTGCTTCTGGTAAGCTTAACTGGGCAATTTCTTGAAACGGGCAAAATCAGCAACTGCATATAGCTTCTGAAACAGTTGCATTGTGTGCCCTTTCCAGCTTGTACTTTTACAACTGCACTGCTCTTGTGTGCAGAGTTCTAAACGTAAGTCATCATGAATGTGGTGTGTCATGTCTTGCAGAACTCGTGCAGTCATATAATTAATGCAGTTTTACCAACCACATTTCCTAATTTACGCTCTTGTTCAAGGGTGTGGTAGATCATACGGTGTGAAAAGCACACAAACAACTAGGCAGAGGTCTGTTTCTGCTGAGTCACTCTCTTGTTCCACTCAACTGTAAGATAGACTGAATACAAGCATTACTGGAGGCTCGAAAATAAACCTTGCAGTCTCGTATTGGTAGTGAAGAAACATTGGAACTAGCAACCTCTGTTAAGAATGCGACCTACAGTGACCTTTATGGCACTGCACTCAACATGTAGTTAGATACGAGACTGTTCCAGCGGTAGTTGCTTGCTGTTTGACAAATACAGTGAATGTGTACTTATTCATGCTGCTTATCTCCTCAGGGCATTTTCGAGAATGTGAAGAACCAACTTGCATTCGAGCTCAGTGGTTCTTTGTAGATTTTTTGCAACCACTGTAAATAAAACAACTCCTCTTGCCCTCCTACTTGCGTTGTAATTGTGATGAGTCGTGGCAGCAGTGCTTAGTCTTTTTAAATTTTTTTATGTGATAGGGAAAGTTTTTTCTCCGGTTTCTGAATGTTGGCATGCGATTCGCGTAAATTTGCAGTGTTGAACAAAACTGGACAATGTCATATATGTACAGCTCATGCACATTGCACATTACTAGTCGCATTTTGTTTTGTGCGATTTATTAACTTTAGGAGCGCAATGCATACAGTAAGTGTTTGTTTAATGAAACCACTTTGTACAAAGTACTGACTGCACTGAGGAGCAAATTAATTTGAGGAGTTTTTTCATATTCCATTAGGTACAAAGTGAATAAATTCGAAACAGCCATGTGAAACAAAGCAGTTACCTTTTCACTTTTCTTCTCGTCAAGTTGGGGAGGTAAACATTGCAAATTCCACTTTCCTGTTTGCGAGCAGCTTGTAGGGACAGTGTCTTCATCATGTGGTTACCTTAGAAGGCTAATAAGGAATCTAATGAAGGGTTTTATCAGTCGGGTTACTTTTATATCGTCCCTATTGGGTGCAGCTAAATTTCATATAACTGTATCATTGACGAATGAAACCGAAACTAAATATTACGAAATTAAAAAAAAATATGACAGTGCTGCTGCTATCTTGCTGCATCTTGATCATAGAGGCTTTCAACTATGAGTACTATCAGCATCAAATGAAACTTGAACAGCCGCAAGTCTTTGCGGTTGTGTAGTGCGTGCCGTCCAGTTATCACGATTGACAGGCGCGCGCATCCTGCTCGGCAGCTTTGCGCATATATGCATGCCTGTTTGTAGTGATAAGTGGATGGCGCTCACTATACTATCGCGAAGGCTTGTTGCTGTTCGGGTTTCATTTGATGCTGATAGTCCAATCTGAACTTGTGATGTCATGTGTAAGCCTTCAGAGTGGAAATTAAATCGTTGAATCCAGCTCTGTCTAAGGAAAAAGAGTATCAATAATTCAAAAACAAAATATACATATCTGAATATAAAAACCACTGAGTCTCAGACAGTCATTTGAGATCGTGGAACTCACCCCGCCACAGTGGTCTAGCGGCTAAGGCACTCGGCTGCTGACCCGCAGCAGGTCGCGGGATCAAATTCCGGCTGTGGCGGCTGCATTTCCGTTGGAGGCCGAAATGTTGTAGGCCCGTGTACCCAGATTTAGATGCACCTTAAAAAAACTCCAGGTGGTCGAAATTTCCGGAGCCCTCCACTACGGCGTCTATCATAATCATATGGTCGTTTTGGAATGTTAAACACCACAAATCCATCAATCAATCAATCGAGATCGTGGAACTCAAATACTTACCAATCATTAGCTCTGAAATCGCACTGGTAGCATAAAAGCTATTGTGCACTTTCTTTGCTACGGTGACTCTCTCAGAGAGTCACCGTAGCAAAGCATTTAATGTAGCATTTAACAAATTTTAACCTATAAGAAGCTTAATTTTCTATTTCAGTGATTTCATTTTAACGAGGGCTTACTGTAGTTGCAAATCATGTTAACTTTTGTTGCTACGTTTCTTTTTCTGCCACCCATGCATGCACATGATCTCTATGTAGGCTTGCAAGCATGTGCAAGCACGTGGTACACTGCAGATAGGCCATGCTCAACACACATTGTAAAATGGATGTACAGCAAAAGTGTTCAGTAGGCTTTCTGCATAGCAAAGCTGCACCAAGCTTTGAAATCCACAGTGTGCATGAATGCAAGTACAAACTGAATGACAGCAATACATATTCAGCTTGTAGTTTCAAGAGAATAGAAAGGGAAAGTATTTTTGCCTGCTGATTTTTCAGCATTCTCTCTTAAAGGCTGTATATGCTGCATTTTTTTTTCACTTGCCTAATACTTTGTGTTCTATCCCTCGAAAGTGTGCATCTTCTGTCAAAGTTTTCAGTCCATGCTTTGCAGGGGTATATATTTTCGGGCTAGTTAGTTCATTGCAGTAATTGAGATTGCAGCCCTGAAATTATGAGGATGAGAAATAGCACACATCCCATCATCTTTCTCATCCATTTCCTTTTGACGCTGTGATACCAATTAGCACATTAATGCATCTGCACTCTTAGCATGAGAATAGTACATTTCTTTCCCCTTTTAGAATAAAAAGAAGGTTGCCTATTCAAACTGCTTTGTCACTCGTACGAGCATTAGAACGTTTGTAGAACTGTTTTATTTAGACCATATGCAATAGCATGCTTTAAATTGCTGCTCAATTCTTCACCGCAAGTAGCAATTAGAGTCTTGTTAACAGCAGGCCAGGCATTGTCATACAATGTAGTACTAACCTGCAGAGTAGATGTTGACTATGTGTGCAAGATTTAACCATCTGTGTTGCTGCTATTCTGGGAATATACTTTCAATTGTAAATTGCTATGTTGTGGGGCTGTTGCATGTTTTTATTTATTGCTTTGTGTAAATACAATTTGATGTGTGTGTGTGTATGTATACATTCCATCACAGTTGTGTATTTTGTTCTATCTGTTATCTTCTTGTACTGCATTCATTACCTTCGAAGCTGCGAGAATGTTAAGGCTTTGGAATACGTGCAGGGGAATGGAGTGTACGGAACAAGCAAGAAAACGAGCATTTGCCTTGCTGATGGTCTGAAGTAACGCCACCTCGACTTTAGGAGGTGGCTGAAGTGTGTTGTGATCCAATCTGGGTAGTTGCAATTCCGTGCATTGCGCATATCACGGCAATACTATGCGAACTTACGTGAAAGTGTTACATTCTTCTTAGCTGTATAATTACGTTCGCTCATGCTGGATCATTCAAACAGAATATGTTGATTGGAAAGCTGAGCACTGATAGTGGGTTGCTTTAGTAGCACCCGTTGTTAACAACAAACATATTTCCGTTAAACCATTCTGGCATTTACTCTTTGCTGTACAGTTACATTTTCTTAGTGCATCCAAACATATTATCTGGTTGAAAAGTTAAGCATTCATATTGGACGGCCTGCGAAAATAGAACTGTATTGTGTCCCATCGCTGTAAATGACAATAAACATTATTCCGTTACATTATTTCGGAATTCACTGTTCTTCCTTCGCGCACGTTCCACCATTTATGCAGATCAACGCACGCTACAGGCTCGTTCACGCTTTGCCGCTTTGCTTTAACTGCTTGGTTAATTCCTTTTGCTTCTCGAGAACGGTGAGATTTTCGATCTGCCGCATCCTCTGTCTTTCCAAGTCCTTGATGACGCCCTCGTGGAGTTGCAAGCGGTCCACTTCTTGCCGATAATGCACGTAGAATACGATACCCAAGCTCGCCGCTACAGATGTGGCGAGACACACCTTCGCCATCGTCGACATGATACTTTCTGGACACAGGTAGGTTCCCGACACGGTGAATTCACGCGTCAACGCGCGCGACCGTCGGGCGGCAGCACGTTCACTTCACACAGTCATGAAATAAAGCTCCGAAACGCCGACCACACGTGCTTACGCGCAGCGTTCGGCGACGAATTATTCAAGGCTTGATTGGCGGAGGGCCGCTAAACAAACCACCAGGGGGATGAAACGCTGGACGATCAATGGCGGAAGCATCATTTCCGAAACGAACGGCTCGGGTTAAAAGTTTTAACCGACAGAAATCGTCCTTTTCGGCGTTTTCGGCATGGCTGCGCCGTCGTCGTTGCTGCTTGCCTTCAAAGCAAAGGTGAGAAGGGCGGAAATTCGAGGTGATCGGTAGCAATGTTCAGCTAGGTGGCCGCTGCCATCAATCAGCTGCTCGCGATGTGCGTCGCGTGAGAACTCGAGTTTAGCGCTGCTTTATTGACCCGAATGTTGCGTGCAGGACTCGCAAACGCGATTCCTAAATCGTGAATCGAGCTTTGGATCTTTTACGGCCGATATTTATATATATAGAACTGTGAACTCACACCGATAGGCGCCTAGCCCTTACTCGCGATATGGAGCAGTCGCTCCTGGTCGCCCTGCACGATCAACAGATCAGTGTTTGTTGTATCACTTGTATCGCACGTACTAATCGTCTGTGAATTTGCGACACTTTTTACTGTGCTCGCTGAGGCGTTTCCCTTCTCTTCGCAAATATGAAGTGCGGCATAGGTGCTTTCCTACGCTGGTGCCTGTCCTTCCATCCCACGCAGTAGACGCATCTGGCCTTCCGGCGGCAAAATTTAAATTCTACATTGTAGCTCTGCGAAAGCGGCTACGCAGAACGATTATTTCGCTGTATTTCTGCTCTTTAACATGGTAGCGGACTATTATACGCATAAACTAAAGAATCTTGAATATGTTTTGGTGGCTCGGAGTGGTTGCGTGGCACGTCGGCGTGAACATGTTGCGCTTTATTATTTCAGATTGAAGAGTCGGTAGCACTGGTTCCTGACATGGGGGCCGAAGAAAAGCTGAAAGCTGTACAGTTCTGGAACGTGGTTTCGGAGAGGCTACAACAGATTGTGAATGACAGTGCCGCTGACATCAACGCGTTGGCACTCAACATGCACGGCGAGGACATCAATGTGGTACGGAGTTGCTTGTAGCCGCCTCGCACGTCTAAAGAGCATTAAAATAAAATGAAGTTATCGCTACCTGTTGGGGGTGGCTTTTGGCATGCAACATGAAAGTTTCTTAGACACTCGCCACAAATTATGGGCGCATTTTTAATATATTTTTTTAGAATTTCCAAGATCTGGATGTGGCAAATAGCGCTATTTCGGAACTTTAGCCGGACAACCTAAGGAGTTGAACACCATACTTATATCAGAAATAGAAATGCGTAATTAACTAAATTTCACTAGGCTTTCTAAACCATTTCATTTGGGCATTTACTGCAAAATTTAATGTCTCGTATAAAAGCTTGTGCCATATCCTCGGGTACGTCTGGCAAGCTCACCAGCAGCATATCACTAAGTTGCATAAAGTTCATTGGCGTAACTTTGTTAATTTGTTAATTGTGTTGTCTGTTTTACCACAGTCATATCTGCCCCTTTGAGCAATCCTAGTGAAGAAGATATTCATTAGCAGAATTAAAATAATGCAGCTCCTTATTTCCATTATGGCTAGGTTCAGTATGCTTCTGTTAGCGTGTGCTCAGTCTTTTTGGCTTAGCAGAAAGAGAGCAATTAAATAGAGTAGCATTTCTTGATTGCATACACAAATAAAGCAGAATTTCTGAGGAAAAGTACTATCACGTACATTTGCAAGAAGGCTTGAAAACATGATACGAGTAATTTAGCAAAGTCGCAATAATAAAACTTTTATATTTCGTCTTTTAAAGCAACGCAGCAAGGAGATGCATTATCTACTGTTATTGCTGTGTGCAACTGAGTTTTATGTATAAAATGTGTGCGTTTATTTGTTTGTATAATTTTACGGCAATACGACTGACTAAACTTTAGTTATGTTGTGCTAGTATAGCCAGCTTAGTGATGTTCATTTTAACATTGTACTGTTTCTTGTGGTTGAAGGCTTCACTTCACGATGAACAACAATCACATGCAAAAATGGCACAGCCTTACATTGAAGCACATGGATACAGTTCTGAAAACCTTTATGCAGGTGAGAAAAGTTTGGCCTCCTGTTAAGACTTACATTCAAACCCCTTTATAAGAGGCATGCTCTTGGCAGCCATTTTTGTCTTTTATACGAGATCTCTCTTATAAACAGGGTACACACATTTTCTTATCAACCCATATTTTACAGTAGGCACACTGGTGTATCTTATACCCATTTGTCTCTCATAAAGGGTTCGACTGTATTGCAAAGAAACGAGAAATTAGAGTACTGTCGAGACACTTTTTGAAAAAGTGCAGTGTCCAATTTCTGTGTGTGAAGTACTGTATCACTGTGCAGTCCTTGTGTTATCACGATGGGAAGGCAAAATTAATTGGGAAATATTGGTGTAGGTAAGCAAAAGTTGATAAACTTATAAACTCAAAATAAGAGTAACAAGAAAAGACTAACTCATGGACACTTTATGCTGCTTTGAAGTCAAAATGCGGCTTCCTTTCTGTCATAGCGGATGCATCCTTTCCGTAGCAGCGTTCCCATTTCCCTCAACAAGCCCTTAGCCTTGCTTCTTGATGGGATCTTGTTACTTTAGGCACTGGCAGTGACACTTTGCAATGGTTTCCTCAACAACAGCACTTAGTAAACAAAACTTTATTAAACAAAACAGCAGCCCTTAATAAACAATTATGACAGAAGTTCCAAACTCGCTTTCACCCAGCAGGCCACAGTCACGCAGTTTAATCCCGCATGGGCAGTTTTAGTGCAGAACGTAAAAGTGAGGAAAGAGGGGAATGTTCATATGCACAAATCGTCTGAAAATGTTGCTGCTTGAAAAGAAACCTTTGCCATAACTCATAGACAGATCATTTCTGAGAAGGACATTTGGAGCGAGTATTTTACCAGCATGTCGATACCAGTCTCCAAAATGACTTATCTGAATACTGATTTATAATGGTTTGGAATATTTGCCCAATCAACAAATTTGACCGACTTCTATAGTTTTTGTTTCATGGTTATGTTTAAGCACATAGTGATCACATGGAGTACCTCACGATAGACTAATAATGCCTGCGTAGCTCACAAACACAAAACAGACTGTGGGCCGCATGCGGCCGCCCACGAGCTGCTTGTTTGAGACTCCTGAATTATGGTGTACTATCGTTTTTGCAGCTGAAATTTTTCTAATTAAGATAGAGAAAACCAGTGTATGCCAATGATCATTGCTACAGAAATATTTGAACTTGCAAAGAAATAAAACCTGGCTATTTAATTATTAATTATGTTCACTGTACATTGATCTCATGCGACAATGTTACCAATGCTATTGTGTATGCTTGTCTCCAGTTTACTGGTAATCATTTCTAACATATTTTCTGGCTAGTCAAAGCTCTCTAACAAACTTGTTTTGTGTCATGTAATTATAAGCCACTTATTTTTCATGCCTTCGTTTGGCACAATACGGTGAAACGTAAAATATGTCCATTGTGCAATCAAATCAGCCATCTTGCATTTTCGTGGCAATTATTCTAATGTTGACAACTGTTTTATGAATCTCAACATATAATATTTATTATAAAAAATAGACATAACAAACTCTGCAGGTGGCCTGCCTATTCTTCCGTGGTGGTTTGCATCATCTAATTTTCTTTTACCGTGCACAAACTAGCCCAACAACAAGTTTTACCGAAACTTAATATTTGCATTGAGCGAGTGTTGACTCTTAGCTCTAGTTTGCTAGTAGATTGTAATCTTGGTGGCTGTGTTATTGACATAGGTGGTAGGCTAGTAGAAAGGACAGATTGTTGTGGCAGTCACCCTTTGAAACTTCGTGTGGGCTCCTACACATGTGCTTGCCAAGGCTTGGAAATGTGACCACTATGCCCACCTTTCTTCTGACTGTCCCATCAATAGTCCATGGTCCTTGCAGTTCACACATACTCACGGCCACATTGCTCTATGCAGCCAGCACATAAAGGAGGCAGTTAAAGCGTATGGGGTGCTATAAGTATTGCATGCACAATTCAAAGATTGTAGGTTAGGTCCCCGCTAGCTACAAGTTTTTTAGACCGCCTTCATTCCTGTGTTTCATAACTACTGAACTTCCATAACTGCGGAACTTCTTTAAAACTAGAAATAACACCGCTTATATGTTCCCTGACTTGGTTGTCAGTTGGCTATCTATGGCATGTCTAAAGAGACAGACTATCCCGATCAGTTCCTCTCTTTTGTATATGCATGTATTGGTTATTACAAAGAATAAATTTCAATGTAGTGGCACTCTATAAATTCCTGTTGTTTGCAGAAGCTGCCGAGGAGTTCGATGTCACGGCCACGTCAGAAGGCCACCAGCAGGAGCTCCTGGCATTGTCCGCTGAGCTTGAACAAGTTGGTTCGTCGCAGCCATCTACGCAGGGCAACTTCAATGGCGTCTCTCTCGAACAGGAAAGCCTTGACGTGTCAGAAGGGCCGCTTCCCAAGGACTCTACGGTGCTCCTCATTTCAACCCAGGCGGAGGACTGCCCAACAGATGCCACATTTGATGTCGCGCATCAGCAGAGTCACGATCCCGAGGTTTTATCGCAGCATGAGTACGGCCAAAACAGCAGCCTGGTTCTTCAGGTGAGGGAATGCGTACTTGAGCAAAAGCATTGCAGAAATTCTCTGGTGGTATTCACATCTCAAACTCTTGTATTTTTCTATTTTTGACCATTAGCTGTTGGCTGGATGGCTGTGGTGCAGCCAACAGAATTCTAATAGGGAAAGAAGGGAAAAAGTTCAAAGAGCCTTTCATTTTTTTTTGTAGTTCGTGTTTTTATAAAAAATTCAGAACCCTTGCATAATTTATCAACATAAACTGTGATCCCCATGTCATTTCTCGCACAATTGTGAGACCACGTGGCTTTTTCATTCAACATGTGCAGTTTATTGCACTCTCTCAATAGGAACACAGAGATAAATTAGTGAGATTACTTGCATAGTCTTAAATTCTTGTGTCTAGCTGCAGTATTACAATGTTTGATGGCAAATGGTCACAGCACCAGTTTCCCCAGTCTTGCTCGGCTATAGTGGATCCACATGACACATTAAATCAGTCCGTTTCCACAATGGACGGCACATCACGTAACTACGTTTCATGGATTTATGCTGCTCATACTGGTTCTCTGCAGATGCCGGCAAAGTCGTCGAACTTGGCACCGAACAAGGACAACTCCGAGCAGTGGCAGTCTTGTTCAGAATACGCTGCCAAGCCAAAGTTTCAGAGAAAACGACGTCCTTCAACGAGAAAAATGAACACTAAAAACTCTGCTAAGAAGGCTACAGGCAGCAAGAAAGCTGCGGGAGTGCCAGTTGCCACCGATCAGACGTCTTCTAGCACAGCATCAAATATTCAGCTTGAAAGCACTCAGGTAAGCCTCACTAAGCTTCTTGCTAGTCGCAGTGACACACCTGCAACTGGCATGGTTGTGCAACCAAGTTAGTTGCAAAGTGACTGGTGAAAGATTGTCGCTGTAGTCACAAAGCGACTGCTTTGGCCTACTCGCACGATGCTAAATTTTTTATTCCTGTGACTGCAGTCACAAACCTCTAAACCAATAAACCAGGAGTCTCAAAAGGAGGCCCCACGCGGCCCACTGACCTTTTGCGAGTGGCTCGCGGCTTCACAAGGAATAAAGTGCTTTGCTGAATAGTACTCTAATTATTTTCTTGCCTATTGCAATCAATAGGGCTTTGTTCGGATAAGGTACAAAGACAGAACTGGTTTCAAGCTTTTTTTTTTTTTTCTTGGGACACCCAATGCCGTCACTAGGAGTTGAAACATCACTGTGGAACAAAAACTCTATTTCAGAATCAGCGTTGTAATTTTAGTCATTGTTGAAATCAGTATCGACATGTGTATTGTAAAATTGACGCCAAATATGCCCTTCAGAAGTGACCCATATGTGGAATATGGGGAAGGCGTTCTATGCCACATATTTGTAAAAGGTCGTGTTTCCAGTCAAGGCCATTAAAGGGTTTTTCACCACAACCCTCAGCATCCCAAAAGTTCCCAAGTTTCCAATTGCAACAGTAGGTCACATTTTGTTCAAATGCTTCCCCGTCCACCCTCTGCCCACTTATCATCGTCACTGGCCCTGCCCTTCTTGGAGTAAATTTAGTGGCTATGGCCCACTAGACGAGGTGAATCTCAAACCCTTGCGCAGTGAACAGGATGTCAGCTTATTTCACTGTGCAATAGCTGTGAGAGCAGACGTGAAGTGTGTGTCAATGGGTGTAAGTTGCACTCAGGTCTGATCACCGTTTGCATTGAGCCGCTTTTTAGTCGCCATAATTATGAGAACTCACAGACAACACTGCCAAGGAAAGTATAGGGGATGTTATTAGAAATAATTGTAATGTAAATGTGAAGAAATTAAAGTTTGCAAAAAGATAACTTGCCATGGGCAGGGACCGAGCATGCGGCCTTTGAATAACGCATACGATGCTCTACCAACTGAGCTACCACGACGGCTATCATCCCGTGTTCTTTATGGGTATATATTTGCATTTAAACGTGAGAGCGTCGGCCGGTGCTGCCAGTAGCCATTACACCAAGAGTGGAACACACTTTTTGTGCCTGTTGACATCCCGTAGCATGTGGTATTATTACAGGCTGGCAGCTGACCAGTAATCTCTCACATACTATCTAAAAGCGAGAATTATGCCAGAATGAGGCCCTCGCTATGAATGAGCGGAAGAAGTAGAAATTTTAAGAATTCATTTTTTTTGTTAGACAAAATAATGAGTACTAACAAACAACACTGCCAAGGAAAGTATTCAAAAAGATTAAAGAAGTTTGCTCTGTTTGGTTTTTTTTCTGCTTAAAGTTTTTTTTCCTAATCTTAAGTATAGCTATGTTAGGTTTTGTCATGTACTGTCTTAGAAATGAGCAGCAAATGATACTTCATTCAAAGGTATGCCCATATGACATTCTAATGAATACTATTGCCAGCTTAAGCAAAATATGTTCCTTTTAGCTTTTTTTTGTAGTTGCTGTAGCAGTATCAGTGATGTGTTGTTTCGATTTTAGGGCATTGAAACAACCGAAGTGATTGTGATCCAGACTCGGAAAAAGCCCAAGAAATCCAAAGAAGAAAAGGACAGGCAGTGCAAGGTCTGTCTGAAGGAGCTGCCCAACAATTCTTCATTGACAAGTAAGAGTTCATTTATTTGTTGTTTGTATTATTATTATCAGCAGCAGTAGTAGTGTATTTACTCTAACCTAATTTAAGCTTTTTTGTCGAGATTTTCGCAATGAAATCTACCCTCGCTTGACAAATAACGAATGTCAAGGTGTCTAAAAAGTATAGCTGTGCAAATAGCAAAATTTTGGGTGTAAAATTAATTTGAGAATTGAAGTGTGAGTGTGAATCGAATATTTTTCTAATATTTCTAGAATTTGGGTTGGAAGCGAAACTGCAGAAAAGAAACTTGGAGAGGATTCCTTAGCATATTTTTATCAGATAGCAACATGACGAGATTCTTTAGAGTAGGTTTTTGAAGCACTGGCGGGGTGGGGGGGGGGGGGGGGGTTTTGTAGGAGCCTTATCAGGGATGAAGCAAGGCAGAGGCAGAATTGTATTAGTACATGATTTAACGCAACCAAAGTGTTGCGGAGAAAATATTACACATGAAAGGCAAAGATCCTGTTTCCTCAGTCTCTCCTCCTCTTTCAACTTCTGTGGAAGACCAACTGATGTGGCAGACAAGGCTACGCTTTCTTTGAGCTAGGTGTTCTAGGTTTGCCTCATAGATATCAACATAACAGAACATTTGAAATTTTGGGTGCTAAAAATTTGTGGTGTCCGGTTGTTGACTTCCTGCTTGAATTTCAGGTCCAAAACAGCATTTATTGACCCCTTGTCAAGAGGCACAAGTGTTGTCGTTAATCAACTTATAAGTGTTTCTCTCTCTCTTCATAAAAAAAAACATGCCCTTCTAGATTGATTTTCAAGGCCTTAACACTGCCGTAACTGACATTTGCAATTTGAATGCCACTCCACCATTTTATTCATGCTAGCCAACACATATGGGGATAGAGGTCAAATGCCAGAAGCCCAAGTACTGTGCAATGACAGTGCATGTTAAAGAACGCCCGATGGTCAAAGTTCACTTAGCCCTCCACTATGGCATGCCTCATGGTCACATCCTGGTTTTGGGACGTAAAACCTTGGATACTATTGTTATATTACATCTGGCAGCTAATTCATTTATTTATTTCAATATTTCAATGATGGCTTAGATTTGATAGTTGCAGGATCTGACTACAATGACTGCCTACACAGAGATTATTTGTTCTACTTGCTTGCTCTCGCTAGCTAGGCAGTGCAAGCCAGCCAACTGGGAGATGAGCTTAAAGAGTCCATGACACTGCCACCCAACAATTTGGGGTTTTCAGCAAGAACTTCAAGTAGATGGTCTACTATGCCTACTGTAAGAGAAACAATAGGCAGCACTCTTGCTGCGCACCGGCTGTTCTCATACTGACCTCTACCTCCTTTTTGTTGTGCTAGGTGAGCACGCTGCAGTGCTTGAGTGCCACGCTTGCTTCCTTAACCTCGGCAACGCTGCAAGTATGTCATTTTGTACGCAATGTCTTGTCTGTAGACGTCATGTACGCTTCATCATCACCTGTAGCAATCCTCCCTGGTGGTCTGCATTGGTTGTTCCTCGGTGGACGGTCTTTCCAGCTCTGCAGCCTGTCTGGATTTTCTTGCAAAGATAATTCTGGAGGGTGACTTTGGCTGTACCACTATGGTTGATTTTGTGTTGGCAGGGTTTTTGGTGATAGCAGCTTGTCTGGCCCTTCTGACGGGCATTCTGGAGGGGGGGGGCACGACATTGGCTTCATCGTGGCGGTTGACCTAGGCCTGGAAGTGATGTGGGTCAGCTGTCGACAATGAATCGGCCTGCATTATCTGGGTCATGAAGAAAACGAGGCACGTGTCATACCATGAGGAGGAAACTAGAACAGCATCCGAGTAGCCAACTCAGTTGCCACGTTTCCTCAGTGCACGTTTCCCACCCATTCCTTGCGGCTGTGAGGCAGCTTCTTGCTGTTCTTGAGGTTAAGTTTTCTGGTTTCCATTACCTTCATGCTGAGGAGACCAGGGTGTGCCCTGGCAGCTTCCCGATGAGTGCCTGTTGTCGACATGTCCTCTCCTTTTTTTCTTGTATCCAGTACCGCAAGGCGATAGAGGAAATATTGAGTAGGTGACTGCTCAAGAAGCTGAGGAAGCAGCTCTAGCGGGTCAGTGAGAGCAACAATGGAGGCGAGGAGTTCTTTCGATTCCCGTACTGGTGGCATGCCCAGCAAGACAAGAGTCGGCATCTGCACGTGTCCCTGTTACGGAAATCTGGGGCCCGTTCTTCCAGCTGGGCTGCATGAGTAATGGTCTCGGTCTTCCTTAGCAATGTTATGGTGTTGGATGCAGACACAGAAAGAGAGACGAGCAGCGAAGAGCAGCCACAGAGGCTATCTGTTTTGGGGCTCGTGGGCGCTGACGGGCATTCAATGGCGTACACCACAAAAACTCGATTTCCACGACGGGCAGATTCGTAGACACCCAAGCTGCACCATCGAAGCTGTGTTCCTTGCAGCTCTCATGAATGTTACAGTCTTGGTCAGGAGGAAAGTGGTCGTAAGCATCGAAAAGTGGGCAAAAAATACTTGTAGATCTCGCACACCACTCTGTCCAGGATCGTTGCTTGACCTCTTCGTAGGCATGCCAGGCATTGGCGGCATCTCAAAGGCGGTCATTCGCCAGCCCTTTGTAATTTTCGGGCCAGGCATGGAGGATGCCCAGCGAGCTTATGGTTGAAATTCACTTGCAGACATTGTGAAAGCCGCAAAGCACCAGCATTGCCCAAACAGCGGATGATGGTGAAGCAGCGTGTGAGAACCCAGAGTTCTAGGATGACAGGCAGTTGAGATGACAGGATAGTGCCGTTAGGACACGTTGCATTACTGTGCTGTTGTCCAATAAGCCACCCGCTGAACCATGGGCGTAGTTCGCAGAGTACATGGTGGTTTAGGTGCTCACGGTGGTGGGATTCATGGCTAAGGGCGCGTGGACAGGTACGGGTGCAGTGGTGTGGAGCCACTGAGGAGGCCTAGATGCCGTCCCCAAACGGTGGTGGGTGCAGCAGCAGGTGCTGAGGGGGCCTGGCCTCCATCCTCAAGCTGCACTTATCGTGGCTACATGTTAGCGGGTGCCATTGACGAGGAAGCCAGGATGTGAGACTTTGTCTTTGTCAACTGTACCATAGTAACAGAAACAAGAGAGAGCACCCTTGCTGCAGGCCGGCTGTCCTCGTTCTGACCTCAACTTCCTTTTCATCCGCTAGCTGAGCTCGTGCCAATGCCCGAGCACCGTTCTTGCCTCCTTACACTACATAGATCTAAAGGGTTGGCTAGAAAAGAATATTCCAGTGCAAGGAAACGCCTAGACGTCGCCAGCTGTACATCACACCCACTGCCGGCGACTGCCATTTTGTTAAGCCATTGTTTTGACATTGTGCAGCAAAAAGTGGAGCCATCACTTTTTACCAAAGTTTCAGCCATTTCAGACTGAAATTTCAGTGCCAACTGAAGAAAGCGAAATTCTCTCGATTTCACAGTGTGCTAGCTCTGGAACAATATCGTTTGCCAGAATACAGACGTTCACACAACTAGCTGCTTATTACGTCGCGGCTCGTGAGTGTGCCAGCGTTGCTTGACTCTCAGGCAGCTCGTGTGTTTGAAAAAATATTTAATTACAAATGAAGTATTTGACCAAATGGGCTAAAATTTCACCAGCTTATTTGTGGATCCACAAGAGTTGACCCCTGTAACTCGGATTATGATCAGAAACTGAGTGTAATGGCCTCTTTAGATTATACCTTTTACCTCTTTCTCCCATATAACATATGATTGGTTTCCATTATCTAGTTGCACTCATCTCGCCTCGTCGGCCTGTTTTGAAATGAAATGACATGTGGCATGCTGCTTTACGAGCTAAATTATCTCAAACTGTATTCAGGGAGTGCTTGTTTGCAGCAAAGATTCTTAGCGGTATTTTTGTGTTAATGTCCTCATGCTCCAAGGCTGACCTGAAGTGAATTGTGTTAGTGACAAGCCATGATTCACAGTACTTTGGGATATATACCACTCTGTGATGAAACTGACTGAAGGGAGGCATGCACTTGCTTACGAAGACATAAAAAATGTGTGCGCTGTGAATCATGTTCACCAAAAGAGGAATTATTTGTGACATTTTATCCTATTTATGTTGCCCCTCGCATACTTGTAGACATAAGAAACTGAACAATTGCTTTGCTAATTGTATTCTGTCTAAGTTACAAACGCTTAAGATGGTATGTGAGTATTGGTCTACCTTGCTCGTGATTGTAAAGGGTGTTAATTTCTTGTACTCCACCTTGCAGCCCACATGTGGACCCATGAACGGCCGTTTGCCTGTGCTGAATGCAACGCTCGTTTCTCCACAAAAAACAACTTAGTGGGTACGTGCCTCCACTTTGTTGGTTTCTAGCTAGGCTGCAGCTTAGGTAATGCCTTGATAAAGTTAGACATGTCAAGTTACTTTCACTGCTTTTGCCTTTGTACGGACATGTGTAATCGGTTAAAGGCCAACTCCGGCGATTTTTTGGAGTCAGTGTATCTCTATAAAATTCACTGGGTATGCTCCTTTGCACATTTCCATCAATTATGCTAAGCTACATGCTTGAGAGATACGCTGATTGTTTGCAAATAAATTTTAACGATTTCCTTGAAACGCTCATCTGGCTTGCCAGAATTATTGGCAACACTGTCTGTGTGACATCTTGTTTGGCATGGCAACGGAAGTGACGCAGCCAATGGCATCGCTAACTTTAGCTGCTACAGCTTTTACTGTGCTGGCCACAAGGCCACAGCGGCAGTGTTTGGCATGAAAAAGCTTCCTTTTTCCCTTTATGGTGTTTGGCCAGCTTGCCTTGGCGTGCTTTCCTCTGCTCCGAGTGCCCGCTCGTCCTGGCTTTCACAGTTTTCATACTGCGCGCCAGCGGGACCAGTATACGACTTCCGGTTCTTACAAAATAGTTTGTCATACGTAGGCAGTGAGCTCGGTTGGGTTTTCTTTTTGGTATTGTGTCTTTTTGCTTACAAAAAATTATTGTCAAATTTGCCGCGCATTTCAGCTATCGGTCTCGTGACAAGAGTGTCAGGAACATGCATCATTGCCCTCACATTGTCAAAAATAGCCGGAGTCGATCTTTAACGAGCTTATCAACGAAAACAATTTACACGTAATGGGTTGCTGTTTAAATTTGGTTTGATTTTGGTTTCGTGGCATTTAGTTAACTTAGGGTATTTGTTTTCATTAGGTTAATCTGAAAAGTTCCTCTCAGGCGCGTACGCAGTCCACAGTTATGCATGTCAATGACGCAGCAGAAGGAGATGGGCTTATGAGCACTGCACGTTTGTGCATAAATTGGACAGTTGAGAGAATAAAACACATTCAGACTGCCCAAGTAATAAATGTATCTATGCATATATACTATATATAAGTGCACAATGTAGTGGAAAATGCTTGTGATGGTTGCCAAGGAGGAACATCGGTGAGACAGGGAGCCGAAACCACCACCACTCCATTATGGCTATCACTTCGAGTGCCAAATGGTTCCAAGCAGTGCATAATGCAGTCAACAACAGCAAAATTTGATGGTGTTAGTAAGTAATTAGGAAAGTTCAGTAATTAACTTTGTTGGCAGCTAACTGGAGGTCACAGAGAGAGGCCCTCGTCCATCGGTCACCTAAAATAGCTCGCTGATGGTAATTACATGTGTACATGTCATCCAGTAGGTTGACTATCTTTCAATCATCTTTAGTTGAGCCCTTGGTGCTGATCACCCACATAGAGCCTGTTGTACATTTCTCATGCCCACTTATTCTTGTAGTCATTGTCATTCGAGTTAAACTTGGTAATTACCATTCAAAATGCAAATCCTTACTACATGCCATTGATTGTTCTGTGCATGCGTTGCAGTTCACCAGAGGACTCACTCGGGTGAAAAGCCGTATGCCTGCGACGAATGCAATGCCTGCTTCTCAACACGAGGCAACCTCAAGCGGCACGTCAAGATGCACACAGGTGTCAAGCCCTGGAAGTGCAGCCACTGTGAGCAGTGCTTTACAGAGAAGAAGACCTTGGTCGCCCACATGCGGCGGCACACTGGCGAGAAGCCTTACGAGTGAGTGTGTTTCAGTGTAGCATTTTGGATGTGTACTCTCACTCTGTCAGCATTCGCTGGGTTTCAATTCATTCGTTCAGCTCGTGTCACAAATGAAGTGTCCCTTATGCTTTTGAAATACATTCCAAAAGGAACCTGTTAGTATTTCTCTAGCTGTGGGAGTGTAGACCAAGTGGCACATTTACACAGGTTGTAGCTTTGAGCATGTTGACCAATTAGCCATCTTGTCAGCACTAACAAGCATGTTCTGTGAGAATGGGACATGAGATGGTAAACTTGTATTCTTAACTGATCATGTTTTATGCATAGAACCTTCATGGCTAGAAGTGATTGATTCCCAAACTATGGCCAAGTTTTTCTAGAAAAAAATTCCACATCATGTAGCCAAGCAAAAAGCAGCACCTTTCCAATCTTATCATATTTTCAATTGGGTTATAATCCTCAGTTTCTTATATATAAGACCCTGATGCGCCAAGACACTACCATCATTGTGTCATAATATAGTAGTAAAATATGATGGAAGCCACAGCAGCATCCGAGCCATCACCTAAAGATATGATGAAGTGTGCATAATATGCGAGCTGTTATGTAGTCTTTTCTTAATTGGTCTTTCTCGGGCTTTTCATTGTACTCATTTTTATTATCGGTGTCGTCATTTTTCGGCAGGCTTCTGTGCGGTTTTGGGTTGCGCTCAAGGCAGTTAGGTTCTGTCAGGGGCCTCTACAACTTTTTTACTCAATTTTGTTTTCATTTCGAAATTGCTTACGGGTTCCACAGCGAGAAATAAGTAAGGGAAGCATCGTTGAATGAACAACGAAAAATCACCACCCAGGCATCACGTACAGATGGCTAACCAGCGAAGCTGAAATAGGTAGCCACAGGTGGTTGCAGATGCCGCAGGAAGCCACTCGAGAAACTCTCGCCAAAAGTGGGTGTCGGCCCCGGCAAATGCGTTACCACCATTGCCACGTTGACCTTGCTCCGCCTGCAACACTTCCTCGGCTTGTCTTTCATGCTATTTGTGGCTCTGAAAGCTGCCGGATCCTCGGTGTGCAGTTGCTGCTTGTGCTTCGCCACCTGTGCTCAGACTGCTGCATCGGTTTGGCGGACATGGATTCTCTTACGAAGCAGCTGGTGATGTCGTTCTTGGAAAGTTCTGTTGTGTGGGCATTTATATTATCCATGCCCTCCTTATGTGGAAGTTGTAAGTTGAAACTGCTGCACGCAGGCTCAGCAACATGGCTGTGAAAGGATGAACGGCATCGTTGATGGCGCTCCCGATGGTGCATGTGCTTGGGTGCGATGTAGAGAATGGCGTAACTAATGAAGCAACCATTGAAGAATGTTATCGTTTCTCGTGGCGAACGGTTATTCATGTTGCCCAGTTATATGCAGCTTTTGCTGCAAAAGCTTTCACATGAGAGGTACGGAAGATTACAAAAACATGATGCTAAAAGACTGCTATGAACAAAGAAGATAGACAAGAAATACTAAGAATACATAGAACAAGAAAATACAGTTAGTAGTATGTAGCACTTGAAATAGTGCATTGACTGCGTGTAAAAATAATAAATGGCCCGAAGTATTGAATCTTAACAGTCTTAGCAATTGTGATATGATTGTGCGCATTTGAAAAGTGTGCCACGTCATCAGCCTGAACCAAAGAGGAAGATAAAGATGATGCTCAGTCGGGGCATGTGTGGGCAGACACATTTTAAGCCAATAAGGTGCCTCCATGGAGACTTAAGAGAGCCACGGGAGAAAAAAAGCGAAGCGAGGCAGATGTGGCTGAGTCAAGACAGAGTGAAGAAGGTGGCCAGGGCGTGGGAGTGGCGGCCAGCAGAGCTCTTGCATCAAGGTTCCAGCAGGATCCCACCTAAACTCAGAGCTTCTTCTCGTCGCCTGACGTGGACCAGGCTTGTTCTGGTCTTCAGGCATTGGCCAAGAAGCGCCCCCGGCTTCGTGTACGAGCTGCGGCTGCCGAACGCCGAAAGGTCACTGACCTCGACCAGCTTGGCGCTTCTTCCGTGCCAGTCAAGGACGTGAGCACCTCAACCTATTCGCCAGCCTTTCCCCGCTACACGAGTGCGTCTTCACCGTTACTTCGTCGCATCAGTTACAAGCCCCGCAACACCGCTGTTACCATTTGCGTGAGTGCATCCACGCCTTAATACCAGAGCCTCCGCTGCAAGCACCGCATCCCGCTTGTCACACCTGTCCCGTTAATTAGGGAGGCGATCGCCGGGCTAATTCCAAGAGCCGAAGTATCGGCCCCCCGAACCGCACCACGAAAGCGTGGACAATTTAGAAGTGGTCCTTATTGGTGCGCCAGCGGACGCCGGCTGTGGCCCAAAGAACAAGACAGAGCCGAGAGTTGATAAACAAACAAATTATATTCTCAATAATGGCAGATCGAAAATAATACACAAAAATGCACACTCCACAATAGTTACATTCCATACGTCGCCAATCAAACAACGTACTACACGGTACAATCAGCCACACTCAAAACAACGAACACGGACAACAATACGCACTACAATACAGTCGCATGCATTGAACAACCAAGACACTTAAAGACTAAAGAGATAGAAAACCTATCCAGTCCAAAGTTCTTGGAACCAAAGTCGAGATGATACTCTTCCGAGAATCACTCACTCAAAGTCCAGCGTTGTTGTCATTCCGCAGCTCTCTTGAAGTTTCTCTTCCAGGAAACCTCGCATCCTCAAATGGCCACTCTCCAAGCTTCAAACTTCTTCGCCGGAAACCCGTCGGCTTCACACACGCAGCTGTTTCCCGCGTCTTCGCTCGATAGCGGTAAACCCACGCTCTTGCCTGTAGCTCGAGCCGTCCCTACGGACCAAAACTTCGCCGACTACACGGCGGAATCTCTACGCACTCTGGCGCTCACTTCCGTCTCCTCCTGTTCTGTCACTACGGGCAGAGCCTTCGCCGACTACACGGCGGAATTCCTACGCGCTCCGGCGCTAACTTTCCGTCTTCCCCTGATTTCTCGTCTCGGCTGCTCGATTAAATACGTTCCGCGCCACCTTCCAGAAAGTTCTCCTCATTTCGTCGGCGCGATGCGCAGCGAAAGCTGGGGAGAGGTGCGAGACGGTTCGACTGCCCTCCGCGTCGGATGACTCATCTCGGTGTGGCCACGCCTCCTTCGTTCTAGAAAAATCGCGGGCTTGCTCGGCCGCCGTTGTGGGGTGAGGAGGTTCGTCGATGAAGCCACGCTTCTGCGGGGAGAGCGCGCGCCCGGGGAGCCTTGGCCGTTTGTTTTCTTTTTCTTTCCCTTTTTTTTTCTTTTGACTTCGCGGCGTTCTTTCGTGCGTTACCGCAAGAATTTGCGGCGCGCCTATTTTTAGCGCTCGTTCTGTGACACTGCCCCCCACTTTAAGAATATTATCTCATAATATTCAAAACCCCACAGACGAGCGCGAACAGTCACCACACACTCTTACAGACTGTAACACCATCAGTCGCTCATGACACTTCACATTCACAATAGATCACTTAATACAATTGTACATTGTAATTCAATTAAACAACACGTGAAAACACAACCACAAGCACATAAGTACAACACTCCACCACACATTCCCAATAATACAAATGTACAAAGTTCTCTCATTACAACAATGGTCAAATACTATACATCACATCACAGCACAACACTTCGACACTTGTGACACAGGATACCACAACATTAACACAACATATGGCACTCAACACTGCCAACCACATTCTGCTTTGACCTCAGCACTTATCCTGCGTACTTCGAGCAGCGCTTGCGCCCCCTTTTGCGGTGCTCGCTCGATCTCTTCTTGTGTTTCCACGTTCTTTTACGGCGAGCCCTTTCCCACGACGATATCTGAGGCGTCGTCTCAGCCATCGTTGTCTCTTCCGACACCGTTAACGCGTCATTACATTCGACGGATCCTGTCTGTTTATTTACCCGCTTGATAATGCCTCTACATTTTGCCCGGCTGGCCAACTCCGTCTCCTTTACACTGTCAGTCGGTTGAGGTCGTGCCGACGTACATCCAGTTGCTCGGCCTGTGAACTTATTCGACACGATCGTCTTCTCCTTCGCTGTCTCTTGCGCCGCAGCTTCACCTTGGGCTCTAGTGAGACCCGTCACGGGATGTTCCTCCACTTTATCTCGCGGCCGCTGTGTTGGCGAGGGCTCTAACTTCGGGTCTTCTCCCAAACATTCTGGATCACTTGGCCCTCGCGCCCCGTCGATGTTTCCGATGACGAGGTCATACAGGGGGGTCGTCATGCATAACGCAGTAACCTTCCCGCTGAAGTACGGGGTTTCAACCTCAATTTCTGCTTCGGGAAGCAGCCGAACTGTACGGTCAATTAGGCAAACCGGTTTCGTTCTGCCTGTCAACTCACTTTCCCGTACCAAATTTCTCCGCACGATAACAGTGGAACTGCCGGTATCTCTTAACACCGTAATCTTTTTGTCCGCAACTTTTCCAGGCAGCGTTGGCATTCCTTTCGTAACACCGGTTGGCTGTTTTGACATTACAGCACCAACAATAGGAATTTTCTCCCCATTTTTCAATTCTACGAATCCGTCGGTGACGGCATTATTATCGGATTTCGGTGCTGCTTGCACACAGGATACCTGGTGAGTTTGACTCGCTCCGTTTCGACATGCATCTGCTTTGTGCCCAGTCTGACCACACTTAAAACATTTTACTACCGTAGGGTTCGTAAAGATTGTTCGACAGTTTTTCGCGCGATGACCCATTCGGTTGCACAGAAAACATCACGGAATTCTCTCTGGTGCACGCTTCTTTTCTTCGGGAGCCAATTTCTTCGAATCATCGGGACAATCCTTTTTTACCTTGGCCAAATTAGTGCCACCTTGCGCTTCCAAGAATTGATCAGCCAATTCAAGCATTCCTTCAAGTGACTCAGCCTTCCTCTCTTTCAAATACAGCGACAGGCTTGGGTGGCAACTAGTAAGAAATTGTTCTCTAATTAGGAGCTCTCTAAGTTCATCGTACTCCTGCGCTGTCCCTGAAAGTTCAATCCATCTGTCGAAATAATGGCAAAGTCGGGCGGCATACTGTGTAGCCGTCTCCCCGTCAGCTGGCTTTCCTGTCCGAAATCTGTCCCGGAATCCTTCCACAGTGAATCTAAATCGCTTCAACAAAGCAGCTTTCACCTTTGCGTAGTTGGCTGCATCAGTCGGCGTCAGCCTACCGTACACACTGAGCCCTTCACCACTCAAGCAAGTACTCAAAGCAGTTGCCCATTGATGTTCCGGCCAATTCTGGCTCTTCGCAATCGTCTCAAATCGGTGAAGGTACGCGTCAAGGTCGTCCTTCCTTTCATCAAACGCTACGAGCAGCTTGCTTGGGTTCAAGCGGAAGCCGTGATCTTCCCGTTCGCTGCTTTCAACTCTAGCTTGGACGGGAGTTTCGCTTCGCTGTTGCAAACGGAGCCGCTCGAGTTCCATCTCGTGCTGCCGCTGCCGTTCCCTTTCAGCCATCTCCGCTTCTCTTTCTTCTTTCAGCTGTCGCTCCCTCGCTTCTCTTTCTTCCTTCAGCTGTCGCTCCCTCGCTTCTCTTTCTTCTCTCGCCGTTTCGGCTGCCAACTTCTCTCTCTCCAGCTCCAACTTCAATTGCTGCTCTCTTTCTTCTTTCGCCCTTTCAGCTGCAAGCTTTTCTCTCTCTAACTCAGCTTCTTTTTCCGCTTTGGCTCTTTCGACTGCCAACCTCTCTCGTTCCAACTCAGCTGTTTTTTCTTCCTTGGCTCTCTCAGCTGCCAACCTTTCTCTCTCCACCGCCTCTTTCTCCTTCTGGCTTACCCATTTCCGTAGTTCGGCGCCGGAAAGACCCATCTTCTCACCAAGCGCAACTAACTTTTCGAGATCCATTGTGTCTCGCAACTCGCAACTAAAACCTTGCCGCGTGCAAAAAGTATCTGCCTAAATCAGTCTATCGGAACACTCTCCTGCACTCGTTAACGAGAACACTGAACAACACACAAAATCGTTCCGCTAGCACTATCAACAACTCGAGGCTCTTTCTCACTACTTTGGACACACTGTGCACCAAAAGGTCCTATGTCGCGGACGCCAGATTAATTGTCACACCTGTCCCGTTAATTAGGGAGGCGATCGCCGGGCTAATTCCAAGAGCCGAAGTATCGGCCCCCCGAACCGCACCACGAAAGCGTGGACAATTTAGAAGTGGTCCTTATTGGTGCGCCAGCGGACGCCGGCTGTGGCCCAAAGAACAAGACAGAGCCGAGAGTTGATAAACAAACAAATTATATTCTCAATAATGGCAGATCGAAAATAATACACAAAAATGCACACTCCACAATAGTTACATTCCATACGTCGCCAATCAAACAACGTACTACACGGTACAATCAGCCACACTCAAAACAACGGACACGGACAACAATACGCACTACAATACAGTCGCATGCATTGAACAACCAAGACACTTAAAGACTAAAGAGATAGAAAACCTATCCAGTCCAAAGTTCTTGGAACCAAAGTCGAGATGATACTCTTCCGAGAATCACTCACTCAAAGTCCAGCGTTGTTGTCGTTCCGCAGCTCTCTTGAAGTTTCTCTTCCAGGAAACCTCGCGTCCTCAAATGGCCACTCTCCAAGCTTCAAATTTCTTCGCCGGAAACCCGTCGGCTTCACACACGCAGCTGTTGCCCGCGTCTTCGCTCGATAGCGGTAAACCCACGCTCTTGCCTGTAGCTCGAGCCGTCCCTACGGACCAAAACTTCGCCGACTACACGGCGGAATCTCTACGCACTCTGGCGCTCACTTCCGTCTCCTCCTGTTCTGTCACTACGGGCAGAACCTTCGCCGACTACACGGCGGAATTCCTACGCGCTCCGGCGCTAACTTTCCGTCTTCCCCTGATTTCTCGTCTCGGCTGCTCGATTAAATACGTTCCGCGCCACCTTCCAGAAAGTTCTCCTCATTTCGTCGGCGCGATGCGCAGCGAAAGCTGGGGAGAGGTGCGAGACGGTTCGACTGCCCTCCGCGTCGGATGACTCATCTCGGTGTGGCCACGCCTCCTTCGTTCTAGAAAAATCGCGGGCTTGCTCGGCCGCCGTTGTGGGGTGAGGAGGTTCGTCGATGAAGCCACGCTTCTGCGGGGAGAGCGAGCGCCCGGGGAGCCTTGGCCGTTTGTTTTCTTCTTCTTTCCCTTTTTTTTCTTTTGACTTCGCGGCGTTCTTTCGCGCGTTACCGCAAGAATTTGCGGCGCGCCTATTTTTAGCGCTCGTTCTGTGACACCGCTATGTTGTGATAAGGGTTATTTTCCACTGAACATTTATTTCCATGCACTGTTCGCGTCTTTAGCCATTCATTATTCCTGTGAACCTCTTTCTAGTTTTGCATGCTGTGTTCTTTTTCTATTGTTCATCTTTTAGGGGCTTCTAAATATATTGAGCGTTGGGGATTTGGTGGAAGCAAATGGTCTCGTCGACTCACTTCTCGATGACAGGTGATGTCATCGGTGGTTTTGCTCTACATGAACCTACACGAGAGCTTGCTCATTAAATAGCCTCGTGACAGCAATGGTGCTACTTCGTTAAAAATTCAGCTGTAAATCAACTGGGTCTCATTTTCTAGGTGTTTTTTTTTTGTCATAATGTTGTATCAATGTGTACTTGCGCTCTCCTCCCAGGTGTGAGGTGTGCCAGCGGCGGTTTGCCCAGTCAGGTGTCCTGCGCATGCACATGGCCGTGCACTTGGGCCAAAAATCGCACCTGTGTGAGCACTGCGGCAAGGCGTTTCGGCAGCGCTCACAGCTGCACCTGCACATGCAGCGGCACCAGGGGATGCGACGCTACTCCTGCGACTCCTGCCCCTCGAAGTTTCTCACCAAGGGTACGTCACGAGAAAGAGCGGACAGGCAATGCTGTTCTTGCTGCTTGGACGTGGCCCGCCAGAGTGGGAGGTCATGGGCGTACGCATTGTGCTTCATTAGGCGAGGCTAAGTTTCACCACTACGCCCCCTCCCCTCACCCTCTTATTGGTCAAGGCCTAATAAAACAAGCCTCGCAGCAGATGCAACAGTGAAAATCATGCTATGACTTGCTTTTCACATGTGGTGCCTGGCTGTCTGTGCATAAAGGTGGGAGGTGAGCAGTTTTTATAATGTGATATTAACGGTTCTCAGTCTCGATTATTGTCAGTAGCTTTCATAGTCATAACCCTTCACTTTAAAAGTGGTAGAACAGGTCTGTCTGATAAAAAATGTAAACCAGGTTTGGCACCCTCCTTCGATACTAAGAAAAGGGGGGGCTGTCTCACTTGTGTGCATGCTGATAAAGGAAATTCCAGTAACACAAAGGATAAAAAAAAACAGCAAACTTGCCTCGCCTTTTACAGCGTCCGAGCACAGCCTTCCCAGTGTTTCCAGTAATGCTGTGTGTTGGAGTGTTACTTGAAAGTGCGAGAGCTAATTGTGAGTTTTACTTGACAGTATGAATGAATGAAAGAAGAAAATTCAAAGTTCAGTTTCTGATGTAGCATGTGGCCTCTTATTTTAATGAACAGGCAGCTGACGAAAAAGCCCTCGCATACTTCTTGAAGGCGTCAAGTATGCCAGACGTGGTGCCTTCAGGTAGCATGCAAGGGATTAGTGATCAACTGCCAGTTTGTCTAACAAAAAAGAAAGTGAGAGAGAAAGAGGAAAAAAAAGATGAAATTCTACGTTTTACCAGATGGCAAAATATGTGTGCTCCACACTCACATTCATGGCTATGAGCGGCGTTGACTAACACTCCCAAGTTTGCATGCACCAAAATAACCAATAAAGTGGACGAGCAGATGAAGGCCGTCGTGGCTTAATTGAAAGAGAATTGGGTGCATTATTCGCAGGTTGCAGATTCAGCCATTGCCAGCAGCGAGTATTCTTTTCGTCCACTTTAATTTCTTCACATTTGTTTGATAATTACTACATTTCAGGTTAAAGGCTACAAATAACGCCTCCTATACCTTGCTTAGCTTTGTTGTCTGTTGGTTTTTAATATGGTTGGCAGTTTGAAGATGTCATGCACAGGAGAGGCCGTAGAATAACTTGTCTTGCACATTCCAGCTGACATGATGCGTCACGAACGGACACACACGGGGGAACGCCCTTATGCGTGCAGCATCTGTGGAAAGAAATTCACTCGGCAACAGTCGCTCAATGAGCACACCAACCGTCACTACGGCATCAAGCCTTATGAGTGCAAGTACTGTGACAAGACATTTGCAGAGATGTCAGCATGTTATAAGGTGGGTCTGCTGGCATGATATAGGGGAACCTTGAAAACCTTTTCTTTTTTTTATCAGCAGCACAATTCGACAAAGCTAAATACTTTATTTTCAACATATAAGTTGGAGGTCCTTCAGGAAAAATTTATTAATAGCTTGGGGGAGCCTGTCCTCAAGTGTTGGTAGGAGCCAGCAGAGGGGAGTTGAGGGAGGTCACTTAGAGGAGGGTTAAACTCCCCTTTCCTAATATCCCCCTTTCACCAGTGCCTTCAAGTTCTTTTAAGGGGTCACAGGCAAATCTAGGATACCTAAAAAATTTTCTTAAAGTGCCTTTAAGAAATTTCTATTTAAGTTGTACTTTTCTTCATGTGATACATTTACTGTACCTCATTTACAGTATTGCTTTGCTGTCTACTTTTATCTTGGACTTTTACTTTGTTCTCATAGAAAGAAGCTTGTGTACATATCGTGCAAAAAGAATGGCAGAACAATCAAGCATTTCCAGGTGAAGTGCTACTGTTTCCGTCGATACAGGAACAGATTATTCTCGTGCAAGAAGTCTGCAGATGAGGGTGCCTTAGTCTGAAATCTTATGCACAATCTTAGGTCGTGTGCTACTTGATCATGTAAGAGGTTCTGCACATAGCAGATAATTGCTTCTTGTACTCAGTCATGAAAATAATGCAAGATTGTAATACTGCATCTCTCCACTCAGATCTAGAGCTATCTGATGATATTTTTGTGCGGTCTACGTTGTTAACCTCCTCGCTCTCTGTGTACACAATTGGGTACTGTTGTTTTAAAGGCCACAGATCATCACGATTCGATATCTGAGGGTCCAAATTTGTCTTGGCAATATAAAAATTGAAAGCGTGCCAACTGTTGTCTTATAGAGTAATGTTGTCTTGTTTGTCTCGTTTGTTTCTTGCAGCATATCAAGCTTCACTCCAAAACTGAGAATGGGGAGAATAATGAGAGTGCTCAGGACACCGTAAAAATGGTACGTCGCTGTTTTAAATTTTTGTACAGTTGAGGATCGAAAGCGCAAAATTGTAGGGTGGTTTCCACTGTGCCATGCTAAATGGTCTAGCAGGTGATGTGCCAAGTCATTCATCATCCTTTCCAGTCACCATGTGCATGTGTTGTTCACTTGGGTTCTACTTAATAACTGCTAATAATAAAAAAAATTGACAATACCATTCCATCAGCTTTGCCAAGGCAGCTCTACATATACATACATACACATTACAACTTAACGGAAGTGAAATTTTAGAGGTGAAATCATTTGTAGATCAACGTGTAAAGATTGGAGGCGAGGCCATGGATGACAGAGTGTTAGGTGTAGTGAAGAAATTATGAAATTTGAAAAGGTAGGTATATGATGATTGTGAAGTAGAAAAAAAAAGAAGAGATAGACAGAAGGGCTGGCAGGTTGACAGGTGGGACTTTTGTTTCCTGTCTTTTATTTCTTCTGATAACCATTCGTGCCTCAAACATTGAAAGCCAGGCAGCGGCTATCTGAACGCCCTACAATGTTAAATAACAATGACTGAGGTGCATGTTGAAAGAACTCCTGGTTGTCCAAATCCAAATAAACCTGCAATATAAACGTTTCAACAGCAATATTTCACGACTGTATCAATTTCCTTTTTGCAGGCGGAGAGCCACATTCCATCACTCCCCGAGACTGCTTTGCAGATTGCAGGAAGTATGCGGTCAGCAACTTCAACTGATGAATCTGGCAGGATAGAGCCGATAGTAACGTCCGAGGCTATAAACAGGCACGTAGTACCAGGTGTCACTGAAACCGTGGTTTCACATGAGGCCGCCATGTCTGGAACGGCACATGCAACTTGTGTGGGTCGCTCGCCCGAGTTCTCTGCCATGGATTTACTAGCTACCGCTTCAGGCTTTTAGTGCTGCCATTTGAAGCGAGTGGAGTGTGACTGCTTTGGTGTGTATATGTGTGTGTGTGCGTACGCTTGCGACCTTCAAGAACATTTGATTTTATTTACAAGACACTCGGTGTGTTGAAAGCTACAGACACAAGTAAGTACTAATTGGCAGAGCCAACATGGCATATTGGTATTGTATATATGTGTTAATGACTTCGTAATATAGCGTGGTGGCCTGCTTGTGATATCTGTTTTCTCCATGCTCAGAAACATACGAGTTGCTTTATATAGGTTCAGCTTACAGAAGTTTATATCAGTTGAATCAATGCAATGAGCATGCAAGTGATTAAAGAAAACACAAAGAACATGGGTAGAATCTCATTTGTGTTTGGTCATGGTTCGGTTTTTCTGTGTTTTCCTTCTGTTCACGTGATAAACCAGAAGCTGCATTTTTGATGACAACAGCTGCCTCGTGGCAAAACAGAGCAATACCAACTTTGAATATATTACAAGGACGATGAGACCGGCAAGAGTGAAGTTGTTCAGTGCAATCGGTGAATATGCTTCCTTGTCCACGTTTTCTACATAAGTTGTAAATTAAACATTTTTTTTTCTTCTGGCTGCTTTTGTCTTACCACTGCCTGGATGCTCCTTGCCCAGTTCATTGGGCCTCGCGTCACTCTACCCAAGAGACCCCGGGGCTTCTCGTAACAATTGTTTCGGCCAACATCGTGCTGCCAAAAAAAGAACACTGGTGGCGGTCACTCGACAGCTGAGAAGTCCACACACCTGTACACTGATTGCAGCAAATAACTTTAGTCTTGCCAGTCTTGTCGTCCTTGTGTTATAGTCAGAGTTAGTATTGCTCTGTTATTCATGTAATATGTGTGATCATTTTTGCATCCTCACTTGATGTCTAGTCAGCTGCGTTTATGTAGTAGCACTAGTTTGTTTGAGCATTCCATGTCATACATGCTTTTATTGTGCTAGCCGTGTTGGTACCTGGGCATTTTAATCTTGATCTAACAATGCTACTGGCAGCCACAAAGTTCTTCAGTCATAATTTAAACAAAATTGACAGAACCCACGTACAGTGGGAATCGATGATATCCAAAACAGGAATGAATAAGGTTGATATGTCACTTTAAAATCACCACAACGTTACGGGGTGCATGGATATACTACGCAGTAAACACAAGTGGAAATGTTATGCGCACTCAGGTATCTGGATAAGATGCAAGTATGTTGTTTATAGTCGCGTAATGATGGCACCATTAACGTTTGCAATACCAGGCCCAGCAGTGGTAGGCATGTAAATTATGCAGTACATGACTTCTATGTCATGATTATCATGTTTGCACCGTTCACGTTACGTAATACCAAGTTTTGTATTCGTCAAGCTAGTGAAGCGACCGCGAGTGCACCATGAGCTTATGCCGTGTAGTCATGACTTACAAGACATGCATGTCATGATTTCCACGTCAGAACCTGCCACTTATGTTTTCCATGCTGTCATGTTATACCATACCAGTTTTGCGATATGTCATGTTAACGAAGCAAGACCATGACATGTAAATCACGACATTTGTGACACACATGTCATGATTTTCATATTATGACTAGCCAATTATGCTCGCCATACAGTCATGTTATGCCACAAAAATGTTGGTATAACTCCCATCATCGAAACAGCCAGGAGAGCTAAAAGTCGTAGGCAGCTAGATAGATAGATAGATAGATAGACAGATACACTCAAAGCCACCGAAGTTCGCTAAGAAATGCTTTATATTTAAAACCTTCATGATAGGGCCAAACCTTCATAAATGTTATAGTTGTTTGTTTCACTTAAACTGAATTCCAACATGTTCATATATTTTTTTAAATATCTCGTTGCAATTCAGTGTAACCATCAAATTGAAATTGTAGTTCCGAGGATTTTTATGCTTAATGTGGACAAAATCTGTATAAGTATCTTACAGACAGTAATTGAAGAAACAAGTATTTTATTTGTTGTTGTGTCTATAATTTAGATACTACTTTCTTGCAGTTCTACATTAACTTACCAACTCGCTAAAGTATTACATACCCAGTATGAATCCTTCAGAGAACAAGAAAGACACCATCAAATTGAAATTTCCGTAATTTCAGATTTTGTTAACACTAGGTTTCACTGTATGTAGCGAATTCTGCTTTGCTGTAAGCTAGAAGCAACTGTGACCAGACCTACATCATTTTTTTTTTTTTGGACAATATTTTTATATGGTACATTGGTACAATGGTACATTGAACTGGTTACTTTCATGTGCACCTTCAGTGTGTGGTTTGTATTGAAAGTGCAGAAGCAGCCGACCAAACATATCACAAGAATCATCCAGTGCATTTTATTGACACACTGTAGGGCTAACAGATGTTTAACTATTGTAACATAGTTTGGAGCCTTTCATCTGTGATAACGTCTGGTGTACATACATCATGGTGCATTTTCATTGTATCGATATATATTTTTATTTTAACTGAAATTTTAATAAAACATTCTTTATTTTGTGAAATACTATTTACTCATTCTAAGTCAACACAGTAGTATAGGGGCAGTAGCATTTATGCTGGTGAGCATGAGGACATCAGCTAGATTGCTAGCATTAAGGGTAACATTATTTTGGATGGCACCCTGTGAGTCTACTGATAAATCAATCCATGGGTGAATATGTGAATAGAACGGACAAGAAAAAGCGGGAAAAAGACTTTGGTTGTGGCTATATTTCTGATTTAGTAGCACATTTAAGGTTTGAATATTGAAAAACTTGCCACTTTTCAACACTCCCAGCTATTGTGAATGATTGAACAAATCAATGTGCAAGGGAAGTCATCAGTACGAAGTGCATTGTGGAGGGGAATCGTGGTGGTGTGTGTGCTCATTGATCAATAAGATGCAAGGTCGATTCCCCCCCCCCCTCACGCACAATCATTTTTATCATGTTTATGTGTGTTTTTGTTAGCTGACAAAGGTAACCTCATCAAAATGTTGGCTAGCGATAGTTTTTGTTGCACGACTTTTTCATCACTGGATGTTCTTGTGCATCTTCAGCTACTGACTTTATTGTGACAGGTGGATACAGGGTGTCTGAGCTAAATATTATTGTTCCAGTTTTTATTTTGTTTCACAGACGCAAGTTTCATTTCTGTTGAGGAACGAAAAAAAAAAGTTCCGTAACAGTTTACTAATAATAAAAACTAACGAAATACTTGATACTAAAGGTACTTAAAAATAAAAAATAAACTAACAAACAATAATAAGATTTGGGATTTTATGTCCGAAAGCCATGATATGATTATGAGGGAAGCCGCAAAAAATTTTGAATCAAGGCTACAACAAAAACTTGATGTTGTTTTTTTCTCAAGTTCTAATCCCTAATTTTCGTGAAGGGTGTGCACACGATTTCAGAAGCAGCAGGTGATCGAATATACTTGCCGATAAGCGATACCCCTGCTCTAATGAAACAAACTTCAATGCCCAAAATGCCTTCTCCACGCTGATTTGTGTGGCTGGCACACCAAGGACCACTTGTGCTAACATTTATAGCTCTGGCTGCCGCTCTTTGCACTCATCCCAAAATGTCAACACATCCGTGCTCCTTGGAATGCACGGCTCCTTGTGCAGCATTTTCAGTAAGCGTGCGATGTCTGCTGATCCTGGCTCACTTGTCTAATGCGATTCTCGCTCAGTATTTCGGTTCAGGCGCCAGAAAAAGTGGATAACGGTGGTCCATGTACAGTGCAGCACAAAAGATATCTGTACTGCAAAGATTTCGCTCTCATTTCTTGATCGGCTGAACGAGGGCCTGTGCCAGTGGCGCTGATATTGTTGCTGTCTTCATGTAACACGTCAACCATGCACCGTAGAAATTTCTGATTGTTGTCAGTTGTTCTGCCTGAAGCATTTTCGTGGTTTCTCGTGCTGGCTTATGGGACTCCGTGATCATTTCTACTCTTGCTCTCGTGCTTTCAGTCCAACTGGCAGTGTCTTCAAGGGGGAGAAAGTCTAGCAGTCCTTCAATTCAATCAACCTTGTCAACATGACCAACATTGACATCTCACGTGTCGGCAATCAATAATAGGCATCCTTAGCTCTATAGCTTCCTTATCAAACCCATTGCACCTTGTGCGCGGAGTTTCTTCACAAGTGCACGACATTGTGCAATGAGGGTGTTGATACCCGAGTGCTTTACAGCGTCGCTAATAGCCAGTTGCAGAGTGTGTGCAGCACACCTTACACCACACTTGCAATCTGCTCCATCAAGACCGAAGCGCTCCGCATCCAGTAGAGAGCCATAATGTCTAAATTCTGGGTAGCCACTATCAACCTCCTCGTCTGAACTAGAAGCGCCGATTTCAAGTTCTGTTTCACCGAAAATACGAGCAGCCTTTAGCATGTTCACACCATTGTCAGTTGTGATACAGTACACTTGGGCGACCCGGAGGTCGTAGCGTGATAAGAGTGCCTTTCATCTGGGATGTCAGATGCTCAGTAGTGTGTCTAGTGAAAAGTTCTTGGCCAGTGGTTGAAGAATTAGCTTTGCCTTTTCGGCATAGTGTACGATGATGCCAAGCAGAGCCCTGTCAAGTCGCGACGCACAACCAATTTTCAAAGAAAACATCCGTTTTCTTAGAGTCTGCAAAATTTCTTTTCTCTTGACTTTGGCTTGTTCCTGGACCCTGTCCTTAAGATTCTCTGCTGTGATGACTCGCTTAGCACTGAGTGCATTTAGGACAGGATCAATTATTTTGCGAGTCGTCAATTAGCCGAAATGACCGACCATTTCTTGCGAATGCAATTCTCATAATGCTGTCCTCTGTTATTCCTAGCGAAACACACTTCGACGATGTGTGTTAAAACATGCTCTGTACATTCACTAGCGTGAGCTCCATGACCACAGGACAGGCTTCCGCCTCGTCCGACACAACACACTTTGTTGCCGGCCAGAATTTTGTAGTACACTCCCTTGTGGCACCACCGCAGATGACGCTCCAGGTTTCCACCATGGTCGGCCGACGCAACGTGCTGGCAGTTCTCAACCTGACCAGTCGATTTGTCTGAGACGCTGGCATACTTGAAATGCCGTCGAGCGCGGTTCGTTCTGGCGCGTCCCATCAGAACTAGCTGAAAACCTCGGATGTGGAACCGTTGCACTATCAGAAAACGCAACGATAGGCGCTGCGCAAAGCGTCGCCGACGCCACCTGTCGCTGCGGCTCAAAACTGTTAGGTCACTCGCGCGAACAGTGTTCATTTTAGCGTCTATAGGCGACTGCTATACTTTCTGCGATACTTGCATTTTTGTATCGCAATTTTACCATTGTGACAGCCTTCGGCGGTGCCGAGAAACAACTGCTGCGTATTTGGATGCGCGAACACGACTGAAAACTCGCCAGGAATACACTTCTACAAGCTTTCGGTGCTGCGTCACGATCAAAAGTGACGGCGGCCATGGATTCCCGCTCTTCGATGCAGAAGGTATGCAATCGCGCTTTGTTTACAACAGTGGTAGGACGAATACGGTGTTTATATTTGCCCATCTTTGTTAACGCGCCTTTTGTAAACAAACTTACGCTACCACGTTCTACAGTGCCATGAGAAGTACCTATGTTTGAAAGAGCGAATGATGCGAAGCTTCACATTTTGCAGGAAAGCCATGAATATTTAGTTGCTATTCGATGAGAAAAGAACTGCATTGTAGATTTGCGGACGTTTGAAAGCAGATGCAGGATCTGCTTTTCTGCGAAGACTGCCTTGTGTGTCAGGGGCAGGGTGTCGTGTCCACGACCTATACTCTACTCCAGTAGGTCTTGTCAGCAACCTTCGAGTCGGCAACCGAGAACCAAAAGCCCGGGCGTGACGAGCGAAAAACAAATTCTTATGAAGCGCGTGGGTAGCTGCACCATGAATTCGTAATTAAATAACGCAAACCAGGGCTTTTCTAAGTTATAGTGGTTGCTTTTCTGAAGAGCGAATTTGAAATTTGCAGAGCAGACTCAATGCTTTGTGACTATGATCTCGGAAGGAGCCCGTCATCTGATATGCGTGACCGCTGTTCTGATCAAAGGTACTAGGCATATCAAAGCTAGGCATAGCAGTT